TGCAACTTACCCCCCCCCCCCCAGGTTTTGCTGCAATACACATATGTAAGATGATACAGTGCCTCTGCATCCACCTCTGTCCCCATTTTCCCCAATACGAACAGGATTTGAGCAACAACATCCCAGTTCAAGATATTGTTACTCATAAGACTACTGTCTCTACTTCTATGCCTTTGGGTTTTCCCACACTCCCAGTATGGTATTGTACGGCCTGCATCCATAAATCTTTATTTCCCTCCTGATGGAGTCTGGGCACAAATACATACCTCCCACCATCCAAATCCTACATTCTGGCAAGCCCCAAGTGCCTTACTGCTGATTAAATTTGACGTTTCCCATGAATAGGTATCTACTGGCAGGACATTGGATCTGTTCTTGCAGCACACGCCTACATTCAGGGAATTAATGAATAATATTTGGGGTTTGCCCCCAGTGCTGGAATACAAGAGTCAGAAACAAGGTCCTGAACCCATATTTGAAAACCAGCACAAGAGTGTCCGGGCAGGAGCCATCTGACATCTTCCTGCAGTGCCTTGGTACCAAGGCCAATCCTAATACAAATGCCAGCTCCCTCTTAGCAATAAACCTGTTCAGGATTTTAACTTTAGCACTGCTAGCTTGCTAATCATGTTAACTCCCCACTCACTGGCAGAGACAGCTGAAGTCATTTGCAGGGACACCTACAGAACACAGAGAGAATTCCTGTAAATCAAAAAGCTCCTCTACCAGGAGGTTGGCAGGTCAGGCTATCAGTGAGATGGCGCTACCTCTTTCCAGCAGTACTGTGCCCCTGGCAGCTGATCATCCATGGTTCACACCATGGAATCGTTCAGTTCTTGTCTGTGCTGTTATTTGAACAGCTCAGCATGTCCAGCCCATTTGTACAGAACTCCTGGCCAAAGCCTGGCCATGTTACTCCTGTATCAGAGATGCTCCAGCAAACGGCAATTTTTACTGTGTTATCTTACAGAATATAGCAGAGTGATATGATAGTTTTTACAAGTGAAGAAATCATTTGAGTCATTTATCGGGGAAGAATCACTATAGAGTCTAGAGACAGAAATAATGCTTAGACAGTGAGTTTTGAGGAACCTTTTAAAGCAACTATCCCCAGTTTTACTGAAGAATAAGCAACAATATCAAGTAACCAGCCTGTTGCAGGCAACATTCTACCCTCTCTTGCTCGTCCTTAGTTTTATCTTTTTATTTTTCTGTGGCCATGAAACCTTAAGTTGAGGCCCTCTGTTTTAAGGATCATTTTACCTGTGGTTACTTATTGAAAAACAGTCGAGTTTCAGCTCCTGTTCTATAAGGTCTTGTTTGTGATAGATAATATACACTTATTTTATCAGTCCTTAATACTGTATTCTAACAGTGAAGAACTTCCCCACCCCTCCTAGAAAATCTTCCAATATAGACATATTAAGAGAATAAAAAAAGGAAGTTTCCCTAATGGTATCTGTCACTGGAAAATAATCACTTAATTTAGCATTGTTAAAGAACAAGCTCTGGTTTCCTCTGTATTTCTTTTTCAGCACAGTCTGCTGAGGAATAAGATTGTCACAGACAGCCTAAAACTGGTTCTTCAGCCACTGACTCATCACAGTAATGTCCCTGTATTTTTCACAGCTTGTATTTTCATTAAATTGGAGTGGGCTACTTGTGCCCTGCAAGCCTCATGTAGTTTCATCATAGCTGGATCTCATCTGTTTTATTGTTACTTAACTCTCTTCCAACTGCTGCTATTATTTTCCCCTCTGCATTTTTTTCCTAGCCAGATGCAAGCCAGGCTTATCAGGGTGGAGCACAGCTGCGTGACTGCTTCAGAGCTACTTGAATATAGCCAAAAAAACAGCACTGGTGAGACTTTCAGTGCTAAAAGCTGTGGCATTTACAACCAAGACCTCATGGTTGCAGTGCTGCTGCAGGCTTCACCAGGCAGGTAGTCTGCCAGCTGAAAGAGGAAGAGGTATACCTGTACAACCTCAGCCTGATGTGGTGAGATCTCCCATTAGAAGCTCAGCCACTCCTGGCTGTCATTCTCTTGGCTTTTACGGAAGGGTGTCTGTGGGCTGCACCTCATCTTCACATGATCATAGTGAGGGCTGCTTCAAGTCTCTGCCATAAGTGAGTGACTCTCCAACCAGAAAGACTGAAACTTCAGAGAGCTTCTCCTTCTCTTTTGGAAAAATAAAAAATTACAAGGCAGCTTCCTCAGCAGTCTCATTCCTACAGACCCCTGGACTTTTTCTGGTACTATTAAAAGCATACACAAAAAAAAAAAAAAAAATAATTTCACCTTGGTAATTTAAAATACTCCTCTCTCAAAAACGCACCTGCTGTTAGTTAAGTGGTAAGTAAGGCAGAGGAACCACCTAATGAAAACATACCTGTTAAAGATTTTCAACTCACTAACTAAAACTTCAAGGTGCTCTTGCCACAGCTGGCAACAACAAAGCTCTTTTGCAGACCAGCCCAGACCTCTGAATGTTGTCTTTGGACCTTTGCTACTTGGACCTTTCTTAACCTGCTGCCAACTACCTAACTGCCAGCTACCTCAAAGTCTAAGAGCTCTACAGTGTGGCTTTGCCTACCAGCCAAGCCCCAGCCAGCCATGGGGGCCTCACCAGGTGCCCGTAGGCTTTCTTTTATTCAATTCTGGTAAATTCCCCAGTTCTCACGTTTTGCCAGGGGACACCACAGACAATGTTGGCAGTGCTCTGCACCATGTCCAGGGCCTGATTTGGCTCCATGTGGGGAGCTGCAGCTGCCTTTCTTGCTGATGTTGGCTGCTATGCCCCACCTAGTGTGATGCAGAGAGCTCCTTCTGCACTTGCCCTCTTCTCCTACACTTAGCGTACCTAAAACACGCACAAGCAGTTACAACAAAGCAAATAAGGGGCACAGGCATTGAATCAACCTTTCATTACTCCAAATGTCAGGCAGCAAAATAAAACTTCAAGGCACTGTAATAAGTCTCCACCAGTAAGTCAATACATCTAAACTCAGATAATGCATTAGGAGTTTTAAAATAACATTACCTCAAAATAATAAAATTGCAGCCCTGTTACATCTTCTGAGACTTCTGCACAGACCCTGAAAAGATTTTTTGTGCCACAAGATGTTCACCTTTTTTATGCAGACACCAGTATTTCATCAGAGCACTAATATTGGTGAAAAGATATTTCTACTGACCTCACATGACACAGATCAGTCGCATCACATCGTCAGCATAATGCTGCCTGAAAACATTAAAGGAGGCAACCAGAAGCAGCATCAGTTGCTCATTCTGCATTCGTTGATAAGTAATAGATCCTTCTCCCCAGGTCTGGGTGACCCCCTGGCAGTCAGAGTCCACCTTCCTCTCCCACATCTCCAGGACCCTGCAAGTCATATCCCTGCAAATATAACTTGTCATTAGCAGAACCTGTAACTGGGGGCTGTTATCTTCCCACCTCTAGAGAGCCAGCCATTACCAACAGAACATGGGGCCGAAAAGAGAATTCCTAAACAGTGAGAGTGGCAGACACTGAACATTTCCAGGTGGGGACAGCAAAACAATTACTTCAGTTTTCTTAACATAATTGGCTGCAGCCATAAACACATCTCATTATCTACCAAGGTTTGTGTAGCTGTTCTGTGTAGCCCAACAAGTCACACAGCCATGCATTTGCTACCACATGCTATTACAAGCATGTCTAAGATGCTTGTTCATCTGCTCAAGGTGAGGTGATGACCCACCTCTTCTCTCCATTTTATCTCTTTTTATTGCATTTCCTGAAAAGCGGAAGGCTGGCTGTAGATTTATACAGACAAAATTATAAGGGCTCAGCTGTAGTAAACGTCTCAAGAGATTGTGAATTCCAGAAAAGAGATTACTGTCTCATAGAAATTCAAAATTAACATTTCTCACTGAAAAACATTGCTGTTTCTATGCAAATCATTTTTTACCTACCAATAATCTCAAGGACCTTAAGCTAGAACTGAAAGGTGGTGGGGTTTTTTTGTTTTGTTTTGGTTGGGGTTTTTTGTTAATATTTTTTAACAGACATTAAGTATGCAAGAAAACGCTGCTGAATAATTTTTTCTTATACAAAATGCTTCTCAAAGGACTCAGGGATGATGACATTTGATAGATCACTGAAACTGTCACCCTGTTTCAAAGCCTTTTCAAGATTGGGGCAAGCATTGGATCACATCTGGCTGTTTCCAAGAAACTTAATGATGGGAATTGGGATCATGACCCACTAGCCTGAAGTTAAAAATTCAAGCAGCAGTTTACTTATTATAGCTTGCAATAGGTAATAATTGGGGGGGAATATCGACTTTAAAAAGTTGTCAGGTACAGGACTGGGAAATGAGCGGTAAGTGGTGCCCCACATTTGCGGGGCACATCCTGACAAGGCATTTGAAACCCGGGGGAACTGTCACACCCCACTTTCTCTTCTTTACCTGGCCATACCCCAAACGCTTCGTTCCCAGCACCTGCTGGGTTTTTTGCTGGTTTGTTTGCGTTCTCCATTCCATTTATTCGTCAGGCTAGCCTGACACGGGGCTTCCAAATCGCTGAGGTAACCGGTTCCGTGAGCGAGGAAGACCCAGCTCCTCCGCCAGCGCTACCCCCGGTGCTCTCCTCTAGACCTCGCTCCTCCCTTTGTGGCCGCCGAGCACCCGGCCGGGACGCCTCCAGGAGGCAGCCCGGGCCCCGCCGCCCCGCCCCGCGGCAGCCGGGCGAAGCCAGCGGCCGGAGCCCGGCGAGGCGGCGGGAGGAGGCGCCGCCCGACCCCCGGCAGCCGCTGCCCTCAGCGGGACCTGGCGGCGCCGCCATCACGGCGGGAACCCGCCCCGCGCGCGCGGAGGGGGCGGGGCGTCCCGCCTCGCAGCCCGCCCGCCGCCATTTTGGCCGGTTGGCGTCGCTTCCGCCGCTGGGAAGTAAACAGGGAGGGAGGGAGCGGGGCCGGCAGCGACGCGGGCGGGACGGGACGGGACGGGCTGGGCCGAGACGGGCCGGGCTGGGCCGGGCTGGGCTGCGGGACGAAGAGGCGCTGGGTTCGGCTGTGGTGGAGGGAGCTGATGTCGCCGGAGCGGAGGCGCCAGCGCGGCCCGAGCGCCGGTTGACGCGCAGCGCAGCAGGGAGCCGCCAGGTGAGGGGCCGGGAAGCGGCTGATTCTTCCTCTCCTTCCTCTGGATCCCGGCTGCGCCGCCGAGGCAGCGGGAAAAGAGGGCTCCGAGCGGGGGGCGGCGGGGGGCGGGCGGCCCGGGGCCCTGCCCGGGAGCGGGAGCGGGGCGCCCGCCGCGGTCTGTCAGAGCCCCGCGCCGGGCCGGGCCGGGCCGGGGGGGGCCGGCCCTGAGGCGAAGCTTCCGCGGGAGTAGCGGGGCTTGAAACCTGCCCCGGCGTAGTTATAGGGGGTCGCTGCCCCGCTGCCTGCTCACGGCAATGGTAGTAAACTGTGGCTGTCTCGTTGTTTTCATCAGGGCTAGCTGTTGGCGGTGATTAAGGAGCGGGTAGGTTTGTGTCTGGGTCGCCCCCTCTTTTAAGTCCGTTCCCCCCATGAGTGCGCTCGTTTTGTTTCTAGAACAGCCGTACTTCAGGCGTAAAACAACACACCGAGCTCTGTGAGGCTTGTTCATGGGAAAACGCTATCAGCACGATGTAAACAGCCGTGCACAGTTATTTGGTGTGGTTTGTTTTGTTTGTTTGTTTGTTTTTTTTTTTGTTTGAAACTGCCATTGTGTTCTGTATGCACCTTACACAGCAATAAAAACAATGTTAAGCATGTGCTTTGCTCCTCCTCCTACTTCGTGATTGAACTAGGATTGTAGTTGAACATGACTGTATTGCAAACAAGATAGTGTGGGTTGCGCCCAGATGCAGAGTTCAGAACATTAAGTTCAGAAACAAGTTATTGTAATAGGTTGAGAAATTAGACAATCTTAAGAAGTCAGGCATCCTGATTTCACCTATCTTTCTGTTCTGGTAGAGTTGGATGTTTTGTCTGGCTTGGGGCGTTTTCCCCTTCCTGTCAAGATCTTAGATTTTATAGCAGCAGTTTGGAAAAACTGATCAGTGATAAGTGTGTCTTCAGCATGCCAGAGAGGGTTAAAATCAAGATTAGTGGTTAAATCATTTTAAGAAGTGATAAGCAATCATTGTTTGAAAAATAGGTTGTACCTATACAGTAATATGCTAACATGGAATTTTTAATCAGTGTCTTCCTCGTTGAAAAGTTATTTCTGTTGGCCTTGGATTTAAAATGGTTAGATCTTTAGACTGTCAAATACATAAACCAAAGTGAACTGAACTGCTTAATTGCATTTGACTGTTCCTATATTCAGTTTACAGAAAAGTTTACTCTTTTAAGTGGCCTTTTTTTTTTTTTTTTTAATACGTAATTTTTAGGTGACTCCGCAAACTTCTGTAGGCAAATCTGCAATCTTTCAATTTTGTATATGTTTTATAGTTAGGCATGTTAAGAGGTTGAAACCAGTTATGTTTTTAAAAATACTATTCCAATACTTTAAATTCTGGAATAAGATGACAAAAATAAGATCAACAAATTAATTAGAAATTAGGTGACAAAACAGTCATCTGAGTCTTAAAATCATATTTTTTAGTCTTGCACTTAGACTTTTTATTTTTCTTTGGAAAAAGGTCTACAAGGAACTATTATTGAAAACTTATGATTACTCTCTCATTTCGATTACATGACCATCCAAGATGTCAGTAACAAAACAGTTGTCTGAAAATGCCTTTTCCCATCTCCTACTTTTTCAGCCATGGCACTCAGAACACATAGCATCTTATTTTCTTGGAAGAGTGTGACCTAAAATTCATAATCAGTATAGCTCCAGCAATAGCCATGTTGTCTCTTTTCTTCACTGGCTGTCTATAAAAACTTGGGATAGTACCCTACAACTTCAGGAGAGGATTTTGCTCTGTAAGTTGGCTCTTGGTGACGTAGTCTACTTCTATCAGGCATGCCTCAGCGGCTATTTTTCCAGCTGAAAAATTCATACAGTTTTTTCAGTGACAGCTTCTGGTCTTTGAAGAAAAAAAAGTGTCAGATCTAGTGCTCCTGTCTTTGGAAAGATCAGTTATAGTAAATGTGCTGTATGTGAATCAGTTCTACTGTATGTGCACAACAGCCCCTAAAATGTGCTAAGGGAGAAAATCCAGAACTTGACATGCAGTGATAAAAGTAGCCTACTCAACTAGAAAACTTGTGCACATGTATTACCTTATTAGCAAAAAGATGAGGCAGGATCTTTATAGAGGAAGACTTGGAGAGCCAAGTCTCACAGTTACTGTATGTAGTTTTTTAACAGACTAACAAGATACGGCTTTGGAAAGACTTAAAGGCATCAAACTTACTATTACAAATTAGCGTGTGTATGGTAGTTGCTCATTATAACCTTCTTGTAGTTGTTTGGAATATCTGTTTAGAGTAAAGTTTAAAGGAGTATTGCATTTCAGAATAGCTTAGTAATATTCTTGGACTATGCTTAACAGTTATCTCCAACACAAACAGGACAGGTTTGCAGTGGATTTGCTAATCTAATTCTTGATTAGTTACTAAGTTTAATTATTCAGTTTTCACAGTTGCAAAATCCACTTCCTTCATCTTTTTGTTAGTTGCAGATGGTTCTAAATCACTAGTCAGTTTTCCTGTTTTTCTTTTGTACAAGTGAAATTAGCGGCTCAGCAACAGAACTCTCTTGGGTGGAAAGCTTGTTTCAGCACAGGCATTGTGTTTTGCATCATTTGATAGTCATGTGCTGTGAATCACAGTAAGTAAAATTTTTGCCCACCAGTGTTTTCATTTTATGATTTCCCTCAAGTGCTACTGGGATTAAAAAATGAAGTTGAAAAGAAATCAAGAGACAAACTGTTCCATCAGTCTTTCATGACAGTATGTTCAGGTTTGTTTCCATGATTTTATGAATTGCTTTGGACTTTAAGTGATAGCTTTCTTTTGTCATGTGAGTGGGTGGGATTAAAGTGTTTTAAAGGTAGGTAAACAGGTGCTGGTTTTGAAAAAATAATCTATGCGTTGGATGCTAAACAGTGTAGTGTTTTACTGGTATATCTAGTGTATTACACTTTGTTTTAAAAGGGTTCTAAACTTTTACTCAGTTGCAGTACGTAGCAGGGAAAGTTAATAGTCCAGGTCCCAAATGAACTGGGCATATGATCATTTCATATGTGTAATTATACTTGAATGTTAAACCACAATGAGTTCACTGTGTATGAAGTCTGTGTTTATCTTTTAGAAATCATGGGGGCTGGGGGACATTTATACAAATCAAGCCCACCCCACCACTGGATACTCTTAGATTTTTAGAGACTATAGTTGAGTGTATTGTAGTTTGTGTGAGGTCTCATTCCTAGTCCTTTAGGAAGTGATGTGCATTGCATTGAGGCTTTAAAAACAAATGATTGGATGCTAAGTTCATTTGTAAGCTGGGATGTACAGAAGAACACACTTCGTTCAAAACCAAGTGCTAGATTTATTTCAGATATATGTAGTGGTGTTGTTTTTTTTTTTTGTCTTTAATAATGTAATATAAGGCAGAACTTGTGTGAGACTGCTATGGAAGAAGTATATGCTGCTGTGAATGAGATAACCTTTTGCCTCAGACTTGATGAATTTAATATGGATTTGAAGAAAGTTTGCTGACTCTTCTCTAAACTTTTTGTGGGTTGAAACTTCCAGACTGTTACTGGAAATAATCCCTATTTACTAGTTAGTTGGCAAAACAAAAGCACACCAATGTTCTTGATGAAATATGGTTTTAAGGATACTGATTTAAAATAGGTGTATATTGAAGTAATCCTTTTTGAATAAATGAAAATAAAGGTTCTTCCTGTCTGGGAATAAAAATGAATTGGCCAGATAGAACGCCTACAAACACTCATTATTTACCTTTCTTGCCTGCCTTTTGCCTTCCACAGTTTCAAATGTTGTTTCTGATAAATTGGACTGGGGCAGCAGTATGAATGTCAGTGTTTACAAACTTGTTCAGATGAATAACTTTCCATTAGTAAGAAAGTAGAGTGATAATCAACAAAACAGTAAAACAATTTAGGTTCAGAGTGTTCTCAAACACAAAAGTGAATCACTGAGAGTGACTGTTACAAATGGATTGTCATTGTTAATCATTAAAGAAACAATTTTAAAGATATCTATTTAGATGGTAATGTTGTTTTTAGACTAGCACGTCAAACTCATTGTTAAGTGTGGGTTTTGTTTTGTTTTTTTTTTCCCCTTCATGTAGGGCCAGGGGTGTTGAGGGGGAAACCCTGGAAAAGCATGGCTACAGAAAACATGCTTTTTTACCTTCACAGTTTTCTATTAATATTGTTATTTTCAGCTCTGTTACGTTTACAAAATATATTGAAAATTTTTTTAATCATTTTTACAGAATGAAACGAGGAAGGAAAACTAATGAGGCCAACAGCAGTTCATCTGAAGAGACAACTGAGAAGGAATCCAAGAGGCACAAGGTCATAGATGAGAAGACCATAGTTGTGCAGAGTCCAGACTGGGCGAACCTGCTTCAAGACATTATCCTGCAGGTGTTTCAGTACTTGCCCCTTCTGGATCGTGCTCATGCATCACAGGTCTGCCGAAGCTGGAACCAAGTGTTTCATATGCCTGATCTCTGGAGGTGTTTTGAGTTTGAACTGAATCAACCAGCTACGTCTTACTTGAGAGCTACGCATCCTGAACTAATCAAGCAAATAATAAAGAGGCATTCCAATCATCTGCAGTATGTAAGCTTCAAGGTAGTGTATTCTATAGGCTTTCTAAAAGTAATTTTAAAAAAATAAAAGCATCTGTTAAACTTAGTTCTTTTTCTCCCCCTCCCCATTTAATTCAGAATATTATAAGGAAGTATCTTGGATACTTTTGAGACAGTTTTGATGGTTCCTCTAGGTAAATGTCAAATCATGAGAAGTATAATTTAATTAATGTCAGTAATTGAAATACTGATGATAAATGATAATTGACAGTTGTGATCCAAACACTTTAGCATGCTGAAAATAAAAGAACGTCCCTAATTGCTAGGAAAGGTTTATGATATTTTTGTGATTAGGATTGTCAGTTATTTAAAAAGAAACATGGCAGCTCTGTCAAAGGCCTTGTTTCCAGGCCTATTATACTGAAGAAATGGGTTCCCTAAATGGGCATATAGACTTGGAGGTTACTTTCCAGTTAATTTGTTTATTTGCATATATTTTCAGGACCAAAACTTGGAATAACAGTTCTGAACATACTTTTTCTTTGCCTTAATTTCATTATGTGGAGATTTTTATTTTTACTTTTTTCTTGTAGCATCTTAGCTGCTCAAATTTATGCCTCAGTGAATGAGCAGAAATATTCCAGGTTTGATACTACTGTACGTGTGGGTACCTGCCTCCAAATTAAGTTTGATCAGGATACATAAATGGAGAGTTTCCCCATTTCACATCCTGTTGGGAGTTGGATCTGATATTCACGGTTAGAAAACATCTAATGCCTAGAGAGTGACTTCAATGCTACTAGTAAGCAGCTAGCAGTTTTAGTGCAAAATTGCATGGGATTGTCTGGGTGTGGCACCTACTCAGCACAGCTATATTTCAGGTAGCTGAAAAAGTATATGGGATTTGCACAGGATGGTATATCTGCTTATTGTGCTTGGCTGAGAAATACTATTTGGTGAGAATTGGCTTTATTAACATCATGGAATTATTTTCAGCAGATAAAAACCTTTACCATTGTCTTCTTTATCACTGTGTTTTGGAAGGGTGCTGTGAAACAGTCATGGCTGTGTACACGTCAGCTGTGTGACAAATTTGAAAATGAAATAACTTCTGCAGCAAGGTGGATGTACTGGTTGGTTGTTTCTGAGATCTGGCAGTTTTAATGTAGGAATTATCAGCATGTGGGTTGCTGGGGTACCTCTGCCTGATCACGTGTATTGTTGCTGCTTGATGCAATACCAGATACAAACTGTTATCACATGTTTGCAAGGGTTTTATCAGTGTCCAAATAAAGAAAATTTGTAGCAGTATTGGAATGACCTTCCAGTGTCAGTCTCCTGTCTGTGCTGCTTTGCACCAAGTGATTTTGGAGGATTTCAGATGCCCTTGCCTGGTAGGGCGATACCCACATCATTTCTTGAATGTGTCCCTTCAGTTGTCCTTCAGTGTTGCAGAATGAACACTAGATCACAGGGAATACTAAGTAGTAGGGATAATCACAAGGAAGTGAATATGACAACTGACATGTCTTCTGTCAAAGCTGAAAACTTGGGGGATTTTTTTGTAGGCAAAGGAAGATTGGATTGTTGAAAATCAAGGTGTTTCAGCTTGTGTTCGAGCAGAAAATCAGTATTCTTTGGACTTAGATCAGTTGCTGACAAGGCCGCATGGCTGATGGTAGACTTAAAATCGATCTTGTGGTCCAGCTTTTTACTGTTCTGTAGGTTTGCAAAGCTGTCTCACCTATTGTATATAAGAGATGATTTGGGAAGCACATGTGAGTATTGGGGGGAAATCCACTGGAGGCACAGTGAGTGATTTGTTTCTGTAACAAGCTGACTTAAGATTTTTTTTTTTTTTTTTTTTTTTTCCTCAGAGTATCCATTGTGCATCTGTTGCAGTATTAATGATGAAGGCCTGGTTATATAGCTTCATGTGATAATGCCCTGTTATGGTGACTCAGCTCTGTTATGAGCTGAGTCACCATAAAAGGCAGCAGTTACTTCACACAGCAAAGGATTTATAGAATTCCGGCATTTTGATAAGGAAAAATGTAAAAAGGAAGCGGGGTAGGCTCTGGACCCAAATGAACTTCCACTTGCTTCTTATTTGATGTGGATTGAATATCTTGGAACAAACTGTTAGCTGACCCCTCACCATGCTGTTCTACCAAAGTGTTAAGGAGAGTGGTAAATTTATAGTAAATTATCTTGGATTTTTGGTACGTACTTTTTGGGGAAAAAAGAATGATATTGATGGATACATGATGAGGTGGTTTGTGGGGTTTTTTGACAGCACATTTCAGAAGGTGAAGTGAAAGAAACTGTAAAGTACATCTACTCTAATCTGCTTTCTTGTAAAGAGTGTGTTTGATGCAGTGCTTTCTGAGCAATAAATCTGTTTGTGGTTTTTTTGTTTGTTTTTTGCTTTTTAAAGGTGGACAGTAGCAAGGAATCTGCAGAAGCAGCTTGTGATATTTTATCACAGCTTGTGAACTGCTCTCTGAAAACACTTGGGCTAATTTCGACTGCCCGGCCAAGCTTCATGGATTTACCAAAGGTATTTTAATGTGCATAGTTTTCTATAGCAAAGTATTGCAGTGGTTCATACAGTATTTCTATAACTTTATGAAAAGTTATATTGTAAGGATCTGAGTCTTTGGTAAAGAAAACTTTATTACTGGGCTCTGTTAGAGGGAGGAACTGAGATGTACTGAGATGGATAACTGAAGTTTCACTCACTCTCTGCATCATGTGAGAACCTAGTCCTGACCTTCTTTTTCCAAGTCCTCATGTCTATTAAGCTCGGTGTAATACTGAGCAGCACAGTGCAAGTCGGGAGGCTAAACGGTTTATCTCTGTGTAATTGTACTGAGGGAGTGGGAGATGTTTAGGAGACAATTATAATCAAATGAGTGGTAGAGTTTTATCCATGTGGACTTGGTGCAGGGATTGTATTATCACTGTGCTCTCTCTAGAAAGCAGTATGATTATGATTTTTCAATATTTCATGTCACACAGTCAAGTGTCAGATTCTTGGGTGAAGTGCACTGTATTTCTGAAATTTTCCATCGGATTTTTCTCTTGCATGTTGACCAAAAATTAGATATTGTTAGAATACATCTAATCTGGAACTCAGCAAATCCCTTACATGCTTCTAAACAAGAATTCCTGCTAGTGAGGTAGAAATGTATTATTGCTGAGGGGCAGGAGAACAGTTGGGGTAACCTGGGCTGCTTGTTGTACAGCAGGGGCATCTCGGATGTCTCACAACCTCAATTCTTGAATCTAGTCCACAGGTATGTGAAGGGCCAGATACAGCTAGACTATTAGCTGGATCTCAGTGATGTCATGGCTGATGATGGCAACAAAGGACAAGGAAGAGGTAGGGACAGCCTTAGGAAGGGAAGTAGGCTATAGGGTTTAAGCAAGGTAAGCTACAGAAGGATTATCAATTATTATCCTCGGCAGTGATCTCAGCCACGTTATGTAGTCCTTTTGAATATGTATTTTTAATCCTTAATTTTCAAAGTTTTTCCAGATCTTTAATAAGGTTTTGTATTTTGTTTTGGGTTTTTTTTTGTTTTGTTTTTTTGTTTTTTTTTTTCAATGTGCTTTGAGATGTGACTGTTGGAAAACCTGAATATAGTGGAAACAACCCACGGTCTTAGTGTGTTAGCAGCCCTTTGTCCTTTCAGCTCTTCAGTATTGTATTATTTCTTCATCTGAATGCTTCTTTTAGCTCTCTTGCTTAGTTTTCACTGGAGGGATGTATTATGGTCCTATTCAGCTTGCTGAATAATTATTTGTAGTCATTCATGCTCTGGTCTTACTCAGCTTCAGGGCTTCTAAAATACAGGCTTCCTTTTTTTCTTCCTAATAGGTTCACGTGTGGCCTTTAAAAATTATATTCAAAATGTGCCAAAGTTAACTTTGGGAATAATTTTCCTTTTGATGTTTACCACTCCAAAAATATTGTCACCAGCATAAGGGACCAGCAGTGATTTTTAAATTTTTGTAGACCACTAATGAAACTTAAGAATTGAATTGGACCATGAATAAGTTCCTGCGGGAAGCCATTAGTAACAGGCCCCTTGGATGAGAAGCAGGCATAGGTGAATGGATCTGAAAAATGGTTAACACTGTACAATTTTTGATTTTTTTATCAGGCTGTATAGGAAGTCAGAACTACTTTGCATTATCTGCATTGGCACTGCTCTGATTTCAAATAACATGACACCTGGCAAATATTTGTAAATCACATTTAGCATTGTGCTGCCTAGTCTTTTCACTAAGCACATTCTACATGAATCTTTAAAAGAATTATACTGTAGGCTACATATGTGGCAATATTGAAAACACATTAAACCACCAGCTTTTACGTTTCGGGGTCTTGCATGTCTTCCATTAGCTCTTCAAACTATGGTTTCAGATTACCTGTTTTTGTAAGCTCGGTTAATTTACTTTGCCTTTCTACTTAACAGCCTTCTTAGTGAAGAGAATTACATTCTAAATACAGAGAATAAAAACACAGTACTAACACTTGTGGAATACAGAGTGGAACTATATTACAGCACCTTCTCTTCAGTACGTAACGCATATAATCAGTGTATTGTCAGCATAGCTGGGAGTGGTCTCTAAAACCTAGATGCCTGATGTTTCTGATTTGAACTTTCTGTTTCCATTGGCATGAACTTGACTTTGACAGCTTATGTTAATATGAAAATATTAATTCCAGTTCTACATCTAATTCTGTATGAGGTTTAGCAAAAGCCACAAGCATGTCACGTAAGAATAAGCAAATACTGTTGCCAGGCCTTCTTTTGTATAACTGTATATAGGATTCTGCATCAGCCTGTGGCTCAGATTGAAACAGTTTTGAAATCAGGTAATTCTACGGGATACTTAAGGTAGTGAATGGAGGAAGTATTATTTTAACTCTTCTATTCGGTCAATCTTGTAAGAAATCATGAAGATAAGCTAATTATTCACTTCATACCAGCAGTGATTTTTACAAGCGCTGCTGTGTCTGCTCCTGAGTCTGTGTTTCTCAAGTTAAGGTCTCCTCGGCTCTGCCCATACTGGTAATTTTCAGTGGTTACATAAAAACACTGAGGAGCAACCTTGAGCACTGCACCTACATTATCTAATCTGCTTAATTGGTAATTGATTGATCACCTGCTCCTTGACTCTGTTGGGACCACTCCAGTTACCTTTCCAAGGCAAATCCATTCAAACCCTAAATGCTCTGTGTGTGGTAGGCAGGCAGTTTGGCTTTGGACACAGCTTAACAGTACAGGGTTGCCACTCTTGACTCTGCAATACAACTCACCACGTGGGAATTCCTGTTCTAGAAGATGCTTCTTTCAGAGTGTGACTTGCAAGTTATCCTCAAAATTAGGGCTTCTAGGCTTTTTCTTTGCTCAGGGTCTTCCTACAGATTAAAGTTTGTGTAGCGGATTATTCTTGATTTATGTTTAGCGTTAGATATCCTGGTTTGCCAAATACATAGACTGATAGCAAAAAAATGATTATACTTACTCTACTCAAAAATATATCTATTTTAGTATTAACTTTTAATTTTGCAATATCAAAAGAATGCTTTTTCAGCAAATGCTGTCAATAAGTAAAAGAAAACTAGGACTGCTGTGTACAGTGCAAAACCACTAAGATTTTTATTTCAGATACCCGTTTTTCATTTAAACTTTTTTTTTTCCAGTCTCACTTTATTTCTGCACTGACAGTGGTGTTTGTAAACTCCAAATCCCTCTCTTCACTTAAGATTGATGATACGCCAGTAGATGATCCATCTCTCAAAGTGCTAGTGGCTAACAACAGTGACACGCTGAAACTGTTGAAAATGAGCAGTTGTCCTCATGTTTCTCCAGCTGGTAAGCTACTGTGTTTTCTTTTGTTTTTAAAATGTATGCATTAAATTCTGATTGAAACTAGTAAACCCCTGAAAAAATAGGGGTAGGGTGAGTGTGAGGATGAATGTGGTTTATACAGCAGCAACTGTCACTGAATAAAATAGTAATTTAACTGCTTGTCAATCCATGTGTTCCACCACTCGCAGAGCAACTGCTGAGCTAATAATAAAATAGTGCATGTCTGTTCTGGACAAATAACTAACCTCTTATGGAATTTAAGACTATGTATTGACTTGATAGTATTGACATGTAAGTAAAGTATTCCAGTATGATTGAGCCTTTTGGAACTTGAGTTCCTATTCCACAGTTCATTATGTATGGGTTTTGAGTGTTTCTGTGTCACAGATTATGAAGATGCTGGTTTAGTTATTCTGAAAGAAAGCAGTTTAATCTTCTGTTGGAGAGTATGTGCAAACAGCATCAATGAAGAGGTGAGGAGACTGAGCTGTGCAGAACTTCTGCCATTACCAGATACACTTCATTAACACTCTAAGTTTGTAGCAAGAATGAAGCCGCTCAAGATTGTTGAAGTTCATATAATTAATGTTTGTGGGAAGACTTATGCAATGTACAGCAAGTTTAAGATTGATTCACAGCCCATCAACTTAACACAATTTTCCACTGAGAAACAGAAGAGACATTATAAATGAGATGCTGGCAACTTTGTTAAATTCCTCTTCTGAGACGAAGTAGAAACTACTGCAGTCACCATAGCTTTCTTCATGTGAATGTATTGGAGCTGTAAATATTGGGTGTAGTATATGTAAAATTCACCGACAGGACTCTTAAAATGTGGAGAAATTGATACTGTAGCAGAGAGCATGTAGCTGTGGTGATAACAAACAAAACACAAACTTAATACCTTTTGCAGGTGTAGCTCTGGGACAAAACCTTGTTTGGTTTTATATAAAGAAGTTCTGAAAACAGAGGTTTGTTTTGCAGCAGATTTTTCCAGCAAAGTATTCACCAGCCTCTTAACTGGAATGTTATTTCCTTCAAAGCTTTGTAATTGTAGACGGGGGGTTGTTTAAGTTGTCAGAAAAAACAGTCACTCAAGCTTTTTTGTTTGAAAATCCTTATGTCTGAGAAATACAGTATCTGTAACATATCTGTTGAGAGGAAGAAGCTCCTGCAGTAATTTGTAGCTAGGCATAGAGAGTAATTTCCTTGGACTTGGACCTAAGAGCAACCTGTCAGCTCTAGCAAACTTTGCTGGCTTGTGGCTAATCCTTGCTAGAAGGTTTTATGGAATGTCATACACTTGATAATCTAGGGGAGGACATGGGTTTACGAAGCTGTTTGATTGATGTATCCTGCACGATGTTTTATATTGAAGGAACAATGGGTTGGAAATGGCAATGCCTGTTTAAGGAACAAGGAGGACAACTACTATTGTCCTTCATGGAATGGAAGTGAATAGAATGGGATCAGATGCATTAGTGACAAAACCAGAGAGTGCTAAGCAAACAGCAGGAGAATTTGATTGCTTAATTCAGGTATGGGTGTGCCTTGAGATGGAGATAAAAGTGGATATATTGCATTTGTGTGTCAGGGTTTTGGTGGTGGGGGTGGTAGGGTCAACCCAGCACCGTGGAGCTGAAGAAAGATGCTGGTACGGGGATAGCTGGCTTCAAGAGCAGGCAGGCTGAAAAAATGAGACTCTTGAGCACTGAGCTTTACCTGGATTTTTCTCTAATGGGAATATTGTAATTAACAGGCTGCTATAAATAAGGAAAAATTTTAATAGAACCAAAAAGGGCCATGAGTTATGCAAAACTAATTACTTATAGATGCACTTAAAATAGTATAACATGCCTTCAAATTTCTGGGGGCGGGGGGAGCGGAATATGTTCATTACTAGATTAATTCTCAATAAATTGGTTAGTAAAAGAGAGAGAAGAGTAATGCAGGTAGTGTAAGAGAGTCTCCACTACTGTGGGAATAAAGGAAAAAGATTGATATCAAACTGTGAATTGCTTCCAAAAAATACTATGAATAACCCCTAAATTATACTACAGAGATAAAGCAGCATGTTTGGGTTTGGGCTGGAGAAACAACGGCAGCAACATATTTCTAATCTTTGTGAGCACAGCTTAAGTTTATTCTGTTTGCTGTTTCCCTTCTGAACTTTAACTTGCATTAGAACTGCAACAGTACCTTGTAAAACAAAATGGTTATTTTAAAATCCACATTGATGTGCTGTTGTTTATTACCTGAAATAGTAACTGTTGCAACAAGGGAACTGAAAGCATTTCTGGAAAAGCTGTGTTTCTTCTTGGCTTTGGGGGTAGGAGGGTTGCTTCTCTTTGAGTGAGGTAGTAGGGGAGAAGAGTGGATGTAGGGTAGTTCAATAGAGGGATTTTTTTGGATGCAAATCTGTGCTGTGTGATAGCAGAGCGATTTGCCTCTCGGTGACACAAAGGTTTAGACAGCACCCAGGGATGTTCTGTGCCTGTTCCACCTGCAGCCTGGGCTCCAGGCAGGCACTGCGTCCTCGGGCTGCCACGTATCCCTTGCCAGTGCTGTGTGCAGGATACACCGTTTCACTGCCAGAAAGTGATGTGGATATCCAGTTCTAAACCCATAAAAAAATCACAGCAAGGTGAACCCCAGTTCTTCCCTTTTTGCATTGCGCTAGTCAGCAACATACACTTAAGGTCAACAACGGTTATGTATTGAAGGATGGCAGTCTGGGCAACAAGATGACTTGGATGCTAAATTTAGAAGAAGTTGTTTTCTGAAACCGTGTAGTGATGAGACAGTGTGTGTGAATTTTGAAACAGTTTAAAGTGTTTAATGTGTCAACAGGCCTAGGTATTACAAATCAGCATGCATGAGTGTTTAAAGGGAGTGGTCACAGTAGCCCCAATGGGAGTACTGCTGTAAGAATAACTTGGTTTGTTATGATTTAAGGGCAGGAAATGATCTGTGGAATGTGTAGAAGGTACACAGAAATTTGCAGTTACACTTAGTTGTTCTTCTTTTGTACTCCAGTCTTTAAAAAAAAAAAAAGAAAAAAAAAAAAATCCGTATTTTTACTTTATCTTGGATCTCATCCCCTCCTCCCTGAATGAAATATGAGTATACTTACAAACTGTTTTTACAGAAAATTATTGCAATAAGAGTTGGGTTAAAATTCTGTTTACCTAAATTCTGCCTTTTTTTTTTTTTTTTTTTTCATCTAACTTTTTATATTTGAAATGACAGTATTTGCTACAGTTCAAAGAGCTTCTGATGCATGTGTTCTTGCAGATCCTCAGGTGGAAAATAAATAATTTTTTGGTGTATATATTCATGCAATATTTTTAGAGTAATTTTTTTTTAAGAAGGTGTTTTTAGGCTCAGTATAAGCTTATCTTTTGCATTTAATAACTACTGGGTTTCTATATTTCTTCCCACTGCTTCAAAGCTACAGTATATTGAGTTCAGGTTTTTCAGTTGCATATGAAATGCTATGTTCTCATCTTTTCTATTAATGGAAAGACCATATTCTGAATTTCACACAGTTTTCTGGATGACATGAAATGCAGAAGAGTGTATGCTTTTAGTGCGCTTTTTTTTTCCTGTACTGTTACCAGTATGGTACCATTGCTTGTATCTACAAACAGGATAAGTGGAAACCTTATACACTGAACTGAATGCTTTTTGGCAATGTCTTTGTTTTCCATGAGCAGCGAGTTATATTGATTCATTAAAGGAAGAGTCTGAAAATAGCTGGTTTAGGAATTACTGCTCCCAATTTTTAGTGTTTTCCTGGGTTTTGCTGCTGTTTTTCCAAATTTAAATATGTGTACTTTGCTAGAAGGAGCAAATAATAACAGCAGCAACTTCTGTATTTAAATAAAATCTAGCATGCATTTTAAGTTTGCTTTCCTCAGGTGACGGATTTCATTCATGGCTGCTTTCTCAGCCCCAGAGGGGGACAGCAGTTCTTCTGGAGCAGGCTGGGGAAGAACTTTTATTATGAGTTAGGCCCCTTTTCTTACAATAGAGCAGAACAGCCAGAGGGTGCTAGTTACGGATGTGTCCCATGAGAATAACTCCCACAGGAGAGTGTGTGAACTTCTTGAGGTTTCCTCAGCGAAACAGTGACGTCGCATGGTGTATCTTAACCGTGTAGGTACAAAGAGATCACAAGACCCTGCTCCCATGAAAACGATTCACCTCCTGGTTGTCCAGTCTGATTTTTGTTTCGATGTGAGGTCTCGACTGCACGTTGAAATACTTTGCGCCCTCTTGACATACAGAAACAAATTCGCTCTTAAGTTTCCTGTTCAGTTATTGGTATGTTTATCTGTGTAACTCCTTTCATAATGTTCTTTTTTTTTTTTTTCCCCAGGTATCCTTTGCGTGGCTGACCAGTGTCACGGCTTACGTGAGTTGGCGCTGAACTACCACCTGCTGAGCGATGAGCTGCTGCTTGCTTTGTCTTCTGAAAAACACGTCAGGTTAGAACACTTGCGCATCGATGTCGTCAGTGAAAATCCTGGACAGACTCAGTTCCACACGATTCAGAAGAGCAGCTGGGACGCTTTCATCAAGCATTCTCCTAAAGTAAACTTAGTAATGTACTTTTTCCTGTATGAAGAAGAGTTTGACCCGTTCTTTCGTTACGAAATACCCGTCACTCACCTTTACTTCGGAAGATCGGTAAGCAAAGACGTACTGGGCCGCGTTGGGATGACGTGTCCTCGCTTAGTGGAGCTGGTGGTGTGCGCCAACGGACTGCGCCCACTGGACGAGGAGCTGATCCGCATTGCGGAACGCTGCAAGTACCTCTCCGCCGTCGGCCTGGGAGAGTGCGAAGTCTCCTGCAGTGCCTTTGTTGAGTTCGTGAAGATGTGTGGCGGTCGTCTCTCTCAGCTTTCTATTATGGAGGAAGTTTTGATTCCTGATCAGAAATACAGCTTAGAGCAGATTCATTGGGAAGTTTCAAAGCATCTCGGTAGAGTCTGGTTCCCGGACATGATGCCCACATGGTAAAGTCCTTGAAAGACTTCAGGGCGGATAGAATGGCACCTTATACCCAAGCTGACCATATTGCAATTTACTGTATGAGCTGATTTAATACTAGAGTTTTTACTGTAAGCTACTTCCTTGTTTGATTAGGAAATGAATTTTTCATTCAAGAATGATTTATGAAATCCAGATTCAAAAGTAGAAATCATGGATTGCTCCAAAACCCTTCTTTATCCAAGCAAAAAATCTGTTTTCTGTCTTTAGATTTGTTCTTTTTCATTGACAGTGACCTCAGACTTTTATGGAAATAAAAGATGTATTTAAAATATTGGAATGTAGCTGCAAAATACCAGCTTCAATATGCTGTCCTTCTTTGATTTAGGTACTAGTATTGATCACGATAAGATTTGATCTTAAAAACCAAACAAAACCAGACCAAAATTGCATGCTTCTATTGCAGACTAGAGCATTTCTAAATCCAGTCACCTAGATGACAAGATTGTAAAGAGTATTTAGTAGGCTGTGACATATACATGTTCTTTTATGGAAAAGTCCTAGAAGGCAAGAGCCACTCGCAATAATATAGTTTAGACTATTACAATATTTAAGTTTGCTACCTTATTCAACAGACTATTAGATCCATCTAAAATGTATTTAGAGCGCAAACAAATAGTAGTGGGAGCTACCAGAAGTGTTGTGGTTTTTTTCCCTCTATGCATTTTAATGTAGTTTGTTTATGGGGTCTCAGATCTGTGTCTAAACCTGTTTTAAGGTATTTTATGTCTAGCTCAGGAAGCGAAAGCATTCTGGGGAAAAATGTAGATACATTGTAATCAAAACCACGCTGGAGTTAATGAGCATTTCTTGCACATTAACTGGTCTTGCAGCATACAGCTAGATGGAATAATGTATGGTTTGTTAAATGAACCCGGCAGTGTTATATGTGGTGACATGGATGTGAACAGTGCGAGACGAGAAAGTTAAAATTTGAATGGTGACCAAGAACCTTTTAACAAAACCTTGGACCTTTTGGCTGCTTTCAGTTTGAGAGAAATGACATTGTAACAGTTGCTTAAGCTGTATAAACTAATTGTATACTGTAAATCTGTTTCAGAAATGTTTATGTATAAAGTGAATGTTTGATAGATGATCATTTTGTATACCTTTAATTCAGCTAGTTTGATCATTTCATAATATTTAAAAACCTAAAAGCAGTAAACTTGCGCAAAGTAGAGGAACAGACAAAAAAATGTTTTGAATACTTGGTAAATCAATTTTATTAGGGGTTTTTAGTCTGTAAATGGTGTGTAGGCAGCATATTGCCTGTGATCTGGATGTGGCTTGTGACTTCATTTCTTACCACCAACAGTTACATTATTTTCTCTTTCCGTTCTTCACTGGTAACAACTGAATTGTTCACGTGACTGCTGAATGTGTTTGAAAGGTGTGATCAGCCCCCGGCAAGGCAAAGCTGTTCCAGCTGTGGGCTGTACTGAACTTAGCTGGTGGCTGCTTGTTATTTCAGCTGTCCAGCTAGTTCTGGTAATAGATTTTTCTTCATTTCTGATTTCAGTAATGTTTATTCAGATGTATAGTTCAAGTGTAATACACTTATGAGCATATTTAAGTTCATAACTATATTTTGAGCAAACTTTGCTCCGTAGACTGGACATCTTTATAGGGGAGTTGTATGTTTCTGTAGAGCTTTGATTTAAAAATTGCATTTTATGAAATACGCATTTTTTTGTATTAGAATTTGTTAAATTACTGTAATACTGTAATTTGCTTTTATTTGTATAAAAGGTGTCAATATATTTAGTCCATAAAAGTAAAAAAGCTCAGTGTTTTTTTTTTTTATATTCTGACTCTTGGAATTGCCTGCATGGTAAAGGTGGAGTAACACTAGTAGTTTGGGGAAGAGGACATATTTTCACTAAAATAATGTGTTTAATCTTGGTTTTAATTGATCTGGTTTTGTTGCAGAGACAGACTTTTTATATAGTAAAGGTTATCAAAATCTTCAAGGATAAGAAAACCACCTGAAAGCAGTTGTGTGTCTCTTCCACTCAAGGTGTGCAGTTTTTATACATCAATTTACAGCATCCTCAGCTCAAATAATTTGGCTACAAAACAAACCTCTCAGGCAAGCCTATATTCTAAGTAGCTTCAGGAAAAGCTACAATGCTCCTTTTTATCAAATCTTGTACACTTTCTTATTTTGCCTTCTACACATACTGGAACAAATTAATAATAATTAAAAAAAAAAAAATCCATGATGTGGGCAGTAAGAAGGGTACCACAAACTGTCATGAAGTTCACTAGAAACATGAACATGGGTGTCTTATAGCTGTATAAAATAACTTTCCATGGGTTCACCTTTATTTCTTGTTTTCAGAAGATACTCCAGTGTTGGCCTGGTTGTCCAGTTTGGGTAGGAGTTGTTAATGTGTGCAGTCACAAATCTTCCCTCTGAACTCAAGGGCTACATCAGGTCTTGGATATAAAAATTACTCTTGAAAGCTGCTGATGCCATAGAGCTGGAGTAATCCTGACCAGCTGTGCTACCTTACCATGAGGTAATAGATCGAAAGTGAAAAGGTGAGTAATTTAAGAGCAGCTGTTGACATTAACTTAGTTTCCTGTGATTTACCCAAAGCTACAAACTTGTGAATTTAAGTGGTTTTTTTGGTGGGGCTTTTAATGAGTAACTGTCGCTAATATTATACAAACTGATCCAGCTACATAGGTATAAATTAGCTATATCTATTCCAATTGTTGTTTGATGTGCACTGAATTAATTTCCTGTGAATTTAAAGCAGGGTTCCTCTGGGCCTCTGTATTTGGAACAGGCCTGACTAAAACATAAACTTTTTTACATTATTTCAGAGAGATCTGTTCTGATCTTTGGCCAGTCCAGTTGCTTGCACATGGAATGATAAAAGTAGTTGCTGCTGCTGCTGTATCTGAAACTGAACCATTGATTTAATGAGGAAATTTGTGAAATCTTAAAGATTACTTCAAGCTCAGAACTTCAGTGACTGTAGTTCAGACTACAAACTGTAAATGCATTTTCCTAAAATACAGGCACTGTAGAAACAAGTTCCTTGGAGATATGACTGAAGTTTAATAGTATCAAAACTAGGACAATGAAACAATTAACCTTCAATGTTCTGCATGTTCATCTGTTCATCCTTTCCCGTTCGGTTTTGCTTGTAGGATCACATCCACTGCTCGCTGGTGTAGTTCATGTGCTTTGAAGCAGAGACTGGCACCTGTGCTTTTGTAAGATGCCATTTCCTTGCGAAATGCTGAGGAATTGGGACAGCTTTGGACCTTTCAGAGGAAAATACCTGTTCCTTCCAGTCTTGCAGCATGACAGAAAACGCAGTTTCCCATTTTAGGATGACCCTGCACAAAAATCAGCTGTCATAGTTTGTTATATGAGTAAGGAGGAAGACTCGTGATTCCTTGTATTGTATCTGTTGTATAGTCTCGTATGGATAGAAGGTAAAGAACTGTGTCATCCAGACTGAAATCAGTTAACTGGCGAGCAGGCAGCCTGGATTTCAAAACCTGATTTTAAACGTTAGTAAGGCAAGAACTTTGGTGGATGTAGCATCGTACCAGTTTTGCTGCTTTATCCCCAGGGAGCAAAATTTAAGAGACCAAGTCCTACCCCTGAACCCCCCCCCCAAACAAAGGCTTGAGTGTTTTGAAGGGGGGTAGGGGAAAAGGAGGAAGAGGGTTGATTTCCTAATTCTGTAGCTGAAGTGTCACACAGTAACAGAGTACTGGGGCTAGAAGTCCCGCGGACCCACCTGATGGCAGCCTCCTTTCTTCCCTCGGGGGCTCAGGCACCCCAAAGCTGTTCTCTGCACCTTGCAACAGCCTCAGTGCCTGGAGAAAGAGGCAGGCTTTAGAACAGCCCCTTCTCCCCGGGCCTGCAGCATCGAGCCCTTCAGGGGATCTTGACTCTCAGTGGCGGTATGAACCCTCCGAGTTCCATTGCTTCAGGAGGTGACGCTTTGCTCTTAAGTGTTCAGTAGACATTTTGGTAATGTTAAGACGGCACGGTACCAGTTGGAAAATTCCTTGCAGGAATCTCCTTCATAATAGTTTTTAATTGCTGAACCCCACACACTGCGTCTACCATTAATACTAAATTTTAGGTGCAATGTGACATGGGAGACGATTCTTTTAATTCTATTATTTTTCCCGAGGCTGAAAATACCGTGGCTGGTAATTTCACTGCACAGTGCTCTGGGGAACAGGAGCTGCACGTTCCCTTTGGCCTTGACGTATGACAAGCCAGGAGCTGCCTTGCTTGAGAACTCCCCTCTCTGGGTTACAGCCCTGAGCAGCTCGGTGGTACAAAAATCAAGCAATTTCGCACGAGACCACTGTGTAGACTTGGAAATTGTTGCATTATGAAATGACTGTGTATTTTTTACCCTGAACTGCAACCTGCGTAAAAGCAAGGAGCAGAACCGAGCAGTCTGAAGTGACCGGCAGCTCCTGTATTCAAAGCAGGAGTAATGACTCAGTGGAGACAGGTAAAAGAGAAAGTAGGAGCTTATCCTTGAGCCTGGCAGTTAGGGCAGTCCCCTGGTTCACCATCAGGCAAGTGCTAATACCAGCTGGGCAGGAGTGAACTGTTAGGTGTGACCCTGTTACACCTGCTCCCCTGTGTGACTTCCAGCAGGAGGATGGCCACTTCAGGTGCTTGGGCTAAAGCGGTGGTTTCCAGGCACCACCACCAACAGATCATCAGGTGCACAGAAGCTGTTAGAGGTCACAGACGTTTGCCTTAAGTGACAAAAGTGTCAGCTTCAGGGATCTATTCTGAGCTTGTCTAAACTTCACAGAAGTGGCTACTCATCACCTCAGTATTCTGGATTCGTTCGGTCTGAACTGTTGGCTTTTAAGGTTCTGAACAAAAACTCCCAAATAGAGAGAAGCAAAGAAAGTGAAGCGCTCTCTGTCCAACACTTGTGCCCACAGGGGATAAATACTGGCACTAGAAGGAACCCGTGTAGGTTTAAAAAAAAGGCAACTCCCGTGTTGCTAATCAGGACTGTTAAACTGAGGATAGCTTGTGCAAAATAGTCTTGCATACACACGTGGCTGCATAAAGGAATTGTCAAATGATCATCAGGGTGACCTACTGCTGCATCCACTCACAAATTCTGTCTCAAATAGCTGCTGCTTTCTGCTTCTGCCTGGAAGGAGTGCAGTACCCTCAACAAATAACTGTCCAGTTGTCTTCATTTTTTGTTGTTGCCAGAAATTTACTGTCCTCTGAGTTGCAACTAATAGGTGCTAGGGTGTAAGTGCTTCTCCTTGAAGCAACACCCTGTACCATCAAGAGTTACGGTTAGAATAAAACATGCTAAATTAAGCAGATTCTGCAGATGAAATAGGAAGAAGGCTGTTATTTGGGTACAAAAAAGCCCAGGATATTATAAACTTGTACTGATAGAACCATGAAGTTACATTTGACCACAGACATGAAAAAGTGATCACTCCTTTCATACAGACATCCCCTATTTTTGACCAAGTTCTTTAATAATCATTAAGTTTCTACCTCTGCAACCAGTCAGCTCTGTCAAGTTGTTGTATAATCTCTCCAGGTATTACTGGTCCACAAACGCCCATTTTTTTTTCTTTATTGTTAGGAGCTGCACAGGGCAGCTTTGACATGTGGGATTCAGCTCCCATTAGCTGTGTATTTCAGGATTTGGCTTTTCCAGTTCTTGAAGGCTCTTTTATGCATCACAAAACACTCCAACTATTAGTGGAAAAGAATGACTTTGGTGCGTAGGCTCCCTAGGTCCCATCTGAAGGAAATGCTGTACAGTGAGCAAACAGCACTGTCAGGCTGAGCAGAGATGTCTACTATGAGGGAGCATGACCTTACCTGCTCCCCCCACGGCGTCTGCTTCAGGCTCTGAAAGGGCTCTAGCTGCATCAAGGCTACAAGTTTTTTAGCAAATGCTAAAGAAGCTTTTGGGGCTTCTACTGGCCCCTATTTTCCCTTCAGAGCTTTGGACACTGGTTTTGAGCTTGAGGCTTTTTCCTGAGAAGATAAATGTGGGTTCAACAATGTTGAGAGTTTTGAAGTCCAAAAGACATTCATCAACAAGAACACACCTGCAGCCAGGCTTGCTGCACCCCTTTATTTTCCCTAGTGCCTCCTGGATTACCTTCTTGGTGGGTAATCTGAAGCTCAGATGGTTAAAACAAGGGCTCCTGATTTTGGCTGCAAAGAGTAAAGTCTTGCAAGTTGAAGTGGAAGATTAAGTTTTACAGAACAGTGGAACAATTTAATTAGCAGCTTTCCCCTGCAGAACAGAAGCACTCTCAGCACCTCATTCCTCTCACACCAGCCCCATTACATGATAATGCAATTCAACTAATTAATTTTAGTGACTTTTTAATACAAGGTTAATCTTCTGCCATTCTTATGCTTTGAAGCAAATCACTGTGCCCTTGCACCGCGTGCTCCCTTCTGGCTGCAGCAGGCTGTTAACTTGGCTGAAGCCAAATGAAACTGCAGAGTAGGGTTCCTGTGTTATCGCTCAGCCACGATGCAGCAAGAACCTCTGCAGGAGGGCTGCTCGTTCTGCAACTAGTTTAAAAAAAAAAAGCAAACTGAGCAGCGTACACTTGGAGATGATAATGCTGCTGCAGGTGTATTTTTTGTCTATAGGCACCTCACTGGTCCCCGGAAAACGGGCGTTCCCTTGGCTTTGGTCGGTTGGGTTTAAAGGGAAGCAGTTGCCAAGCTGCTCTGGGCATAGCCTGGAACAGGACTCAAGGACACCGCAGCCGGCATGGCACCGTGGCTGCAAGCATCACTGCCAGCAAGAGGCTGCAGTTGTTTTTTACAGGCAAATCTGTGACAAGCGTGATTTTTAACTGTGACACCCCACAAACTGTCATTGCTTCCTTCCTATTAAGGATTCTATGCTTTTTGAAGAAATGTAAAAGAAATATAAACATGACTCTATGAACCTAATTGAAGCCTCAATAGACTTTAAGACAGGAGACTGCTAGAACACTGCAGATACGCATCAAAGTTGACATCAAAAGAGGCTCTTTGCCTTCTCTCGGTGCTAGAAAACACACGCTAATTTTAGGAAGAGCCATCTGTATTGTGCTTACAGTACAGGTGAAGGAAGCAAAGTGGTGAAAAGATACCACCCATGCCGCCTTAGAACATATTTGCTGCCCCTTCCCACCCCACTGAACCCCTACTTCATAGGTTCCAGTCATAAAAAACAAAGAAATACAGAAACATGGATGTAAGGCAGACGTTGAAGGAACTGGGCACAGACAGGCGCTCAGGTTTGTTAGCTCCACCACGCGAATTAGCCGAGCTGGCCAGACCAGAAGGTCCTTGTAACGCTTGTGTCCCATCTCTGGTGGTGGGCAGGTGCTTTCTGTCACCACACAGCCACACGTGTGGAGGGTGCCGGGGACCACAGCAGGCAGGCTGCCTCCTGCTCGGCCCCTGGCGCTGCAGAGCTTGGCCAAGAGGAGCCACACCAGCCTAGCCTCAGGCAGCAGGCGGCCGCGGTTATGCAGAAGCTGGCCAAGTCAGAGATGCTGAAGTATTCATGAAGGTGTTAAGACAAGAAAAGAAGGGGAAAAAAAAAAAAAAAAAAAAAAAAAAAGCAGAGTCTTTCATGTGATCTAGCAAAGCCTTCCCAACACAACTTTTACAGTTGGCAGTGAAACATACAACACTTTAATAGCATCATGGTAGCGCTCCCAAATTCTTAAAGATATTCTGATATATATAAGGGTAAGGTTGATTCTTCAGAAAGCAATTATACACCAACAGATATATTGCTTCCAGTAGGTAAAGGGACCTCTTCATAAATTATTTTGAGATAAGGGAACTTCATAGGTAAAAACCAGTATTCCAAGTTGTAGAAGAGGTAAAACTGTTGATTCAAGATGACACGATCGATTATTTTTAAAAGATCCACAAAAAATTCTCTGACTGTCCGATGAGGTTTGAAGGGATAGTAGAAGTCTCTTATAGCTGCAGCCAGTGTCTTGTTTCCTAGTGGTCCAAAAATAGATGTTTCATTTCCCAAATAAATAGGTTCTCCACTGAATAGTATTATGCTCGTATAGTTTGTTTCTATCTTCTTAAATACAGCTCCTAAGTCAGCTAGCTTCTGGTACGTTCTCAGTATAAATTTAGAGCATTCATAAGAGTCAAACCATACTATGGACTGTTTGTCGGGACTCGCCTGAACTGTCCAGGTCTCATAGTAAATGCCAGTCTCGTTGTCGTATTTTACCCACTTTGCCATTTCATTAAACATGGCTCCTGTAAGAGATGAAAATAAGTATTATAGAGGTAAGGTAACAAATACATGACTCAGTGTATTTTCCATCTATTTTAAGGTTCACCTCCCTTCCCTGCAAAAGTTTCCCTACAACATTACCTGACCACACAAAGACTCAAGGCTTAGGCTGGAGAGAGAAGTGAAACCCAACTGAGTGAACATGGAAGTTATTTAAACTGTGATTCCTTTTTCTGCCTCATTTCCTGCTACTATTCCAGAATATCCAAGCATCAGAGAACCATGACCCTTCTCATTTTGTTTTATCCATGTAGACAAACAGGGCAGGTAGTACAATATACAAGAAATGCCGACAAAGCGCTCACCAGTGCAAGAGGTGTTTCTGCACTTCCTTGAGCTTTAACTAAATTCGGCAATTCAGAGCAGAAGTTTTCTTGTCTCTCCACAAAAAGAGACCTTAGCCTGAGACACGCTGCTGTTTTAGCAGCTCCTCAGCCAGCTAAGTTGAACTAAGCCAAATGATATGAGTGGGATGTGAAGATCAGCAAACTTGAGGACCTTGTGGATTATTGTTTTTATTTAGAATACGTCTTTGGAGTGTTCTGGTGATTTCACAACTGAAATGAGGAAGACTTCTCTAACTCAACTCATCCCTCCAGTAGCTCCTTACATGTGACACATCTGCCTCCCCAAAATAGAGCTGAAGCACAGGACTAATCTTCCTCCTTTTGTTTTTCCTGCACTGCACCCTTCCCGCCCTCTTTCCTCAGTCACGGCGCAGGGTACAGCCACCTATGACTCAGATCTGTCTAGCACCTCACATTCATCGCACGACCAAATTCTGCAGATTTTTCTTGTGTGATGCACCAGAAGACACAGTCAGACGACAGCTTGCAATCGTGACAGTGCCGCAAGCCACAATCTCTCTTGAGCTGCAAGCGTCACCGCTGCGGGTACAGTAACTGTGTTTGGTAGCTGTGGAGACAGGCAAGCTGAGGGACTGGCACCAGGTTACCTCACAGCTTGGGGGTGGCAGACATCAGACAGACCTCTGTCACCAACGCCACCCTGCACACAACCACCAGCCTCTTGCATGAAGTCTGAATTCACTGAAATGTCACATCTGTCAAGACCAACGAAGAGCACTGCATGCCACGCATCTCCCCCCAAAACAAGCTGCAAAGATCCGGTGGCTGGGTCTGCTCTTCATCAGAGAATAAACACATCTCACACTTACCCAAAGGTAAGGTGTGTGTGCAAGCTACTGCTTCAGACTAACCACAGCTCTGCACATTCACCTCCTAGGCTACCCCAATATAACTGTTCTTCACTCCACACTTTGGAGATTTTGGGCTTCACAGTAAGCATAACAATCATTCTGTTTCATTGAGGTGTTGGCTACTTTCTTTTTTAATTGCCCATGACTTGGTTTAATAAAACAGCAAGTCATTAAATCTGTATCAAGAAGCATTCTTACTATACACTGTAGATGGAATTGAAGCTCCCCTTTATCTTCTCTAATTCCTACCAGATTAGCTTCCTAGTGTGTATTCTGTATGGCATGTTATTAGAAAGGTTTTGTCTCTCCTAACAAGACCACACTGAACTTAGTATGAAGTTCTGACCTTAACATCTTAAATTTAACAAAAATATTATAGGTTAATGTGTGGCTCCACGATAATCTGTTGCAAGATGCCTAGACAATAAAAAAATCAAGACTTGGGATATTCCTGCCCTATTTCCACAGACGAAACGTACCCTTACATGACATTAACCTGGCTGATGGGCTTTAAAAGAAGATTAGATGATTGCTTCACTATGGTGTCTGACGCTGCTGACAAACAGCTCTACAGGATCTCACAAGGGCAAAGAGGGTCCAGCTGTTTCACACGTTAACGCCTTCTCCCACAAGATGGGATGCTTTTTGCCTGCTCTGTGAAGGAAGCAAGTTCAGCTCATGATGCTGGCCATCTGTGCTTGCATCCATTCACCCAATTCCACAGCAACTTTCAGATTGCTAGTGAAATTCAGACAATTCAGAACTCTCAGAAATGCTACCTTCCTAAAAGTTCCATGGAAACAGGAAGCGAGACAAGGAGGAGCATAACAACACCTCCATAAGGCACCAGCGTACCCTCACCTTTCTTAGGCATCAGGTAACCCACCCAGGCAGGAAGCATTACAAATTCCACAGCCGCATGAAAAGATTTAACTTGGTATTCATGCGAAAGAATCCAACCGTATCAGACATCAAAGACTTCTGTCATGAGCTACAAACTCACAGGAAAGCAGCTCCGTTTATTTCATTGCTTGAAGAACAGCTGAGAATTCCTTAGCAGCACTGGGTAAGTTACCTAGAGACCGAGTCCAGCAAAGCTGCTAGAGGTGGAAGCGGGCAAGCAAAAAGCACCACACCGCACTAGCTGTAATCTGATTCCACTGTGCCTTGTACACTGTCCTAACTTCAGAGTAAGTGATTTTGGTCACACAAAATGCAATTCTCCAAGTCCTCAGGGGGTTTTGTTTGTAAGCCATTCACTGTATTATTACAGTAATCAACCAGATTTATTTAAATGACCATTTTACCTTAGAATTTCAGTGTTCGGTATATACCAGGAAGCTATTCTGGTGATCATCCACATATTTAGAGGTGTAAATCCTGGTTTTGTTCCATGGCATATGACAGAGACCTATTACAGGGGACATCTGCACAGTTTTTATGACCCGTAATGGAGGAGATGGAAATAGAGATTTTTTATATTTTTGAGACTATTTCTAAATATGCCTTGTTTGCTCAGTAATGTACACATTTGCACCATTTTTTCTATCTCAACAGTCATCTGCCACTTCACAATAGAAGGTTTTGTTTTGGTGAAGCCATGTGAAGAGTCCATAATGGCTCTGTATAAGCTGTTTTGCTATTTTTACAGTCAAGAGACTCAAGTGTTTTTGTATAGCACCAAATGAGTCTCATTTGAACAACGCACACTGAAGAGTCGTTCAAAAGGCAGCAGCCTCATGCCACTTTCTGTATTCAAGAAAGTGCAGACAGTATTTCAGTCTGAAATTAGCATCAGTGACTAACATTGTGAATAACCTACAAAACATAAATTAAAAGATTCTGCTTTACATGAAGACAAGGCTGACTCTGTATTTTATGACATTAGTACTATCCAGAGCATCTTAAATCTACCTGATATTGTGGTCACGAGAACTAAAGTTCCATTTTCCTTCCAGTGTGCATCATCTATTCCTTCATAGAAGCAGGCAGCTCCCTGGTTACACCAGAATGGTGCATCCATGCCAGGCCGGAGATGTGGAAATGTGCAGTTCCCAAGTTGGAAGAGCTCATACCACTCCATTGTGTAGTTTTTGCCCGTCAGAGAGCTCTTGAAACCCACAGCATCATGCATGATTTTCTGGAAAAGAAAAACAAAAAAACCCACACAACTAAACCCCCAAAACTTTAATATAAAAAGTACTTCAGCTTGACCTGTACAGAAGATAAGATGCTTGGGAGTTGTTGTGTAACAAGGTGAGAAGGGGGAAGGGGCTTCTATAACATCTTGGATTCGGTAGCATTGATGCACAACATACTAGATTGTATCATGCACATACTTTTATCACAGTCACACTGCCTCAGTGGTTGTCTATCCATCCACTGTAAATTCTGTTATTTGGAGGCAGATGCTCAGTGGGAGCTCATCATCAAAACCAAAGTTTAATTTTGAATCCTTAACCTCACAGGGGTATCAAAGAAATAAAAAGCAGAACTTAGTTACCAAAAACAGATCTTAGTAATGAAAGCCACAAAAGGAATGACATAAATATTTCTTTTAAAAGCTGTAGAGTAAATAAATAAATTCAACCTTAGTTTAAAAACTAAGATAATGGTATTTGAAGCTATTTCCACTTTTGACTCTGTGTGCTTGGTTTTGGTGTTGCTATTTCATGTTCACTAGTATTTATTTATTCATTAGGAATCATGCTTTGAAGCTTAAGTATGCTACTGCTCTAGCTATAATTATTACTAAAGTTGAGATTCTTTCATATTTGCATGACCCCATGAATGGAGATTTTAATTCAATACTGATCTTAACATTTAAGAAAGAACTGTAAAAGCAACCAACTCGCCATGATCCACCGTTCTGACCAGCTAGCTGTCTGCTCCTGATAGATACCCATGTTCATACAAATTTTTAAGTTTTTAACAGCAGAAAAGTTAATACACTAAACAAGCATTTAATCTAAGGGGACAAATATATGTATATTCTTGGTGCAGTGCTAGCACACAAAAAAAAGACACTGAAAACACAATGGTATGTGCATACAAAACACTCCAAGTATGCAGCTCTGTGGGGGAACACATTCAAACTCACCGACAGTGCTGGTCATGCTCTTTCTCCAGCTGAGCTAAATTCTGCAAGTTTTGTTTGAAACTTCCTGCTCTTTGGGTATCTCTCCTATAGATAGCCTAGCTTGTGTGCTCCACTACTCGTCCATACAAGCCTATCCCAACCTTACAGCTTCCACTCTTGACACCTGCTGTTGAATACAGCTGAATTTGCCACTATAGATTTGTTAAACAAAAACAGCACCTCACCAAATGTCCTAGTAGGTCCCCATATTTGAATTCCCATACTGGAGCCTGTAATCGATACACGTCGATGACATCCTCTTCTTTCATAACTGGAATGGCAGAGCCAGTGGGGCAGAAGGTGTAACGAGCTTGGCAGTAAGGATCGGGTTTTGGACGGTAATCAAAGCGCCTGTGTTCAGAGAGATAAGCACACAGAATAAACACAGTTTCATGGCTGGAGTAACTGTCTCATGGCTTCCTAATGGCCTGAGCAGGAGAGCTCAAGTGTCCAGTCACCCCCAAAAGACAGATTCTGTCACCCAGATGCTACAACACTTGGAGTACGTAAGTTTGCAAGGCTGCTGAGATGTACGTCTGCAGGAACAGGATTTAAGGACTTAAGACTCATGAATGCAAATCGTGTTGTATACAGTACTTATAGTGAAGGAGTGAAAACGATGAAGATTAAAAAAGGTGACATACTCATAAAATCAGAGACACATAGATGCCGGGTAGACAACAGTTGGAAACCTGCCTCAAAAATATTCTCCTAACAGTTTGTCTACAAGCGATTGACCAGTTTGCTCTGTGAAACTATTCTATAGTAAGGGCTCCCCAGATGGAGCTATTTTTACTCTACAATATTGACAATATCAGAAAGAAATATTCCATTCCTCTATGCTAATTTAGATAAAGAGGTCTAAGAACCCAGCTAGGATCACTGTTTCCATTCATCGTTCCTATTAAACCTCAAAAACTGAAGACCTGATCTCCTTATGTACCACGTTATATACAAACAGCAAAAAACCTTCCTAAGAAGTCTTCCTTTCCCAATTTCATTCAGATTCACTCACAGCATTTCACTTAAAACAAGGTTCCTATATTCTTGTTACCAAGACAGTCTGGTGTACACAGCTTGCCCAGGGCACAGCCTGACAGTCTAACACACGCAGTTGCCCACGGCTACTGAATGGCACGATTACCCCTGCCGTGACATGACTCAAGGACACGGGACTTCCTGAGCCATAGTAAGGGCAGCAGCCCTGTTGAGACACGGCTGGTTTTTCCCTGTGGACTTCTTATCCAAGCTTGCTGGGTACTTCAGCATGTCTGCCTTTATTTTGTCCACAGGGAAAAGAAGAAAAAAAAAAAAAAAAAAAAAAAAAAGAGTAAAGCTGGAAAAACCCACACAGTTAGAAAACAAAGATTTATGCCAGACACACATTTAAGCCCTGTTTCTAAACTGCACACCTCACATTTTCAATTTCCTCTCCCACTGCACCTTGCTCGTGACAAGAAGGTAACAAGCATGTTAAGAAGCATTAAAACACCACACTTCTGAGTGCCTCGCATTGGTGGACTTGTACTCCAATTCTAACCCTCCTGAGACCCAGCCTTGCACAACACCTCGTGACTGCAAGATTGGCTCCTTCAGGCATCACTTGATACAAACTTAACTGATAAGAATTATGCAACAGGCTTTCAAAACTTCAGGCGTGTATTAAATAGCAGTTAAAGTGCAATGCCTCCCTTTAGAACCAGCAAGCCCACACAAAACACAGGTGCTAGTGTAGCCCTTCTCCTGAAGAGGCTTATTTCCTCAGGGTAACCAAAGCCGTAGCTGCCCGGTTCTGCAGAATGTGGTAATGTGCACTGCTCTGCTTTCCCCCGCAGTACCAGGTCTTCTGCTGGAGCTAAGGCAGCTCCGGAGCTGTAAGTGGGATTGTATATTATTTCATTTATCATGAACAGAAGTATGATGCACAGCTCAATTTAAAAAAAAAAAAAAAAAAATCGCAACCTGACTTCCTCATTGCAACTTTTTTTTTGCTGAAACTGGAATTAAAGGAGCATCTTTAAGGCAAAGGCAGTCATTCCCGGAGGCGGCAACCTTGCCGCAGCGCTAGGCCAGGGCCGAGGCACTCGCCCCCCTTACCACTGAACACACCGAACATCGTATAAATGACAAATAGCTCCGTGATGGAAAAGGGGGAAAATATTTCAGTCTGAAAATTAAAGGCACAAACGAAACAAAGGGAAAGCCGAGGCGCCGTGGCGGAGGAGGAGGGGGAGGGGGAAGCGGGCGGTTAGGCGCAGCAGCCAGGGCCGCCTCACTCACCTGTAAGGCACCGGCCACCGCCGCGGCGGGGAGCGTAGCCCCTCCGGGAAACACGGCCCCCACGCCGCCGCCAGCAGCAGCGGCAGCAGCGGCGGCAGCGGGCGGCGGCGGGCGGCGCCCATGGCGGCCGGGCTGAGGGCGGCCGGGCTGAGGGCGGCCGGGCGGGCCGGGGAACGGCAGCGCTGAGGGCGGCCGGGCGGGAGGAGGCCGCCCCCGCCCCCGCCCACGGGGCCCACAGGCCCGCGGAGGGCCCGGCCCGCCGGGCGCGGGGGGGGGGACGGCGCTGTGCTACTCCCAGCGTTCTCACCAAACGCAGTGGTTCGGGTTTTTTTGTTTTGTTTTTCTCCTCCCGAGGAAAAACAACCGGGTGCTGAATCATCCCTTGAAAACGTCACTCGACTGAACTGCGATTTCAGTTCTCTGGGGACCCAGACAGCTATGCGTTCTTGTAATTTACTGAAAGTTTTTTGTGTTTTTATTTTGTTGTTGTTTTTTGGTTGGTTGGTTGGTTGGTTGGTTGGGTTTTTTTAACAGCCTGATACGTTGTTTCAAGCACTGCTTTGGAGCCGCTTTAAAACACACACCCTTACAACCCGAATCCCCCAAGAGGGATGACCTCTGGGGTCTGGACCCGGCGGGATGAGGTGAAGCCTCACCAAGCAGCAGAAAGGCTTTTGCTGGGATAAAGCACACGGCCCTGAGCCTCTTCTGTCCTGTCTGAAGCCTCTCAGGGCTTCAAGCCAAGTTTGTATATCCGTCACCCATTTCAGAACACTTACTCAGGTTGTAACAATTTATGGGGATTATATATCAGTTGATTCTCTTGTTCTTACAACAATAGAGAGAACCATCTTTAAGATGAAATCTGGCTGAGAGAAACAGTGAGGGCAGGTTTGCCAGCAGCATCTCTGCACTAAACACTGCTTCTTCCAGCTCTGTAGAATTCAAAACCAGCTATGCTGGCATCAGAGTCCAGAAGGCTAAGTTTGGTAGTTGGCATCAGCAGTGAAAGCGCTGGTGTGTGCTACTCACTGGGTAAATAATAACTGTGCTGTGGACTTTTGACTATCAGGAGCCAGAAAAATATGCCGGTTCAATGCATATGAGCCCCTATAGAACAATCTCTAGTCAGTTCTCTAGTCAGCATTACACTAGGCTATATTCAGACAAAACTGGAGAACTGGAAAACCCTGCATCCTACATAAAAATGCTGGATAGGCTGCTGAATATCATTTTCGGTAATGTTGGTTCAGAAAACCGTAAGATGGCACAGCTATTTAAAATCTTTTATTTCAGCAACATTTCTGATTCTCACTTCATTGCTTCCTGATTCTATACTGCTTATCTTTAAAATCCATGCCATTCAGCACTATACGTCAATTTCATGCATGTATATATAATCTATATGTACCTACCTTTCCATATTTCATTTTCATCTCATGCATGTTATTTGTGTCTGCTTTAAAGTAAAGCTCTGGTTTTGTTCTTTATAAAATAAAGTGTGCTATTACTCATGTGTGTTTCCTAGCTTGAGCATAGTACAAGATGGCAGTTCTTTCATCTGGTCAAAAAAGTATGTGTTTGTGTGGAACATAGCCATAACTTCTAGTTTTAGAGATTTTAATGTGTAACTCTGGAAGTGCTTTATGACATAAGGGAAGCATAATTCATCCCTTCTACGAAACCAGGATGCAGGAAAATGAAATGACATAATGAAGGTGCCGTAACTGCTTGCTAGCCAAACTAGAAATACAGTATCAACTGGTTCTTAGTCCTGGCTCAGCATATGTTTGCAGTTTGGACTACTAAGTCTCCATTCAGGCACTGCTGTGGTAGCTGAACATGATGGGTCAAATGACTAAGATGGCAAAGCTGTTGATTTTTTTTTTTTTTAGCATTTTTGTATCTCACTTCATTGCATCCCATAGGAAACTTTTGCAGCACAGTGCTGTTTTTTCTTCTCATACAACCTAAGCTATATCGTGAAACATATTTTAACATGGAAAATAAATGACTAATACATTTGTGAATAAATATACTTGAGCTAAAAAGCTCACATGCCAGCAATTTCTGAGTCAGCAGCTGTGTTATTATCCAGAAACATGTCAAAGTGCCCTTTATAAACCCACAGAGCTGATCTTCATCTTTGTCCACTAGCAGGCTTAGAGAAAAGACTGAGACAGGTTACAAAGATCAACTTCTGGAGTTGACTGGCTTCCCATTTTTTTCTCATTTCCTGGATTATTTTCTTTTGATTAGTGAAAACCGAACATTTTGCTGAAACAATGATGAAGCCTCCCAGTGGTTTCCCATTATAAACAAGTACCTTCTCCGTCTCTGCCCTTGAGAGTAACAGGATAGAAGCAACAGAGAGAAAGGGGAAAACAAACCCTGCTGCTGCAGCCAAAAGTTAGGATTTTGAACAGCTAGTTTGCTTCTGAACATCTGTGTGAGTCATCACACTGTAACAGTCACAGCAAAGAGGCTGTTGAACCTGAAGTAACAGCTCCTATCTCACAAAAATGAGCTTCTCTGAATGGTGCTTACACCCTCAGCTGCACATCTGCCAGCCTACATACTGGCAATGTGACATTCAGTAAGAAAACTACGGTTATATATATGGATGGCAGCAGACAAAACTACACAGCTGGCAGTTTTACTGCTCACATAGGGGGTTTTTTTATGCTCACACTGGCATACATTAGCTGGATACACACTGAGAAACACAAACATTACCTGAAGTCATATTGAACCCAGTCCTTCCTCCCTGCCTCTGAGGGGAGTGAAAGACATCTTGAAAAAAGGAGCCAGATACAGGACTCCTCTGCACCTATACTCTGCTACGTAGCCTGAGGTGCAACCGCAACGGTGAGTTGGGGTGGGAGAAAGCCGTGTCTTTTTCTACAGGAAAGGAGAATGGCTGGGCTTTGTGACTGTGTAAGGTAGGGCTAAGGGTTCCCCTCAGGTCCTCCTCAACCCTGAGAGTTAGGATGAGGGCTGTGCTCAGGAGAGATGTGCAGTTCAGTGGGCATTTGGGACTGCAGGGCAGCCGCTGCTTCGTCTGGCAGCCTAGGAAGCGAGGGAAATTTTTTCTTTCCAAGCTGGAATTCCAGATGGGCTCTGCTGAAGCCTGAGAGATAGGATTCGGGCTGGGATAAGGATGCAGATGAAGTTCATCACAAGTTTGAGCTGAGAGTGACTCTCTGGGATCTGCTGCAGGGTAGGGATAAGTGAATCGATGAGTCAACTGGATGCAGTCTGTGAAATACAGAGCTATCCCAGTCAAATTTAAGCTAATCTCAGAATCTATTGTTAAGCAACTAAGGCCCTTCAGAGCAGGATTTCCACTAGAGAAAACATCTTTCTCAAATCCTGAGCAGTAGTAAAAGGGTTGGGGTCTGGGGCAGAGCTGTAATTCAACGCATTGAAGCCTGAAGGGGACAGTGTGCGCTCTCTCCCCTTCAGGGTATGTACTTGGTGGCTCAAGGTCAGATAAGAACTGTAGTGAGGAAAGCCAGAAACTGCTTCTGCTCTGCTGAGGCACCTCAGGAGGGGCTCCCTGTGCCTTTTCTGTGGAGCTGCTTTTAAGCCAAGGCTCTTGCCTCCTACCTGAGCTACACTGCAGCCACACCTGGGCCCAGCCCTGTACCCCATTGATGCAGACCCTGACCCATGTATCTGTTATCCCAGCTCGGCCTTGGATCTGCCCCATCGCTGTGGACCTGCCTAGTGATCAGACCCTTGGTGGAAACTCACTGCTGTCACCAGAGCTCACCTTGTCCTGCTCACCTTGCTCAGGGAGGGTACGACTGGGGCCAGGCTGGTGAGGCACCTGCCTCCCCTTGTCCTGTTATGCTCGGCCCCCCTTGGGAGCAGCCAGCCCTCGCCCTGCCCTGGCACCTTAACTCTGATGCTGCCACATAGCAGAGCAGTGAATCCTCTTCCCCACTCCAGATACACGTTTATGTGAAGTCAGGTAAATTTTGTAATTTGTGCTAGCTGTAGGGGTGTCAGGGAGCAGCAGGAGTAGGGCTGCTTTGCAAGGGAGGATGAGCCAGGAGCAGAGGTGACCATGGTGCAGACAAGGGCAGTGACCTCAGTGACCACAATGCAGTCCCGAAGTTACTGAATGAGAACAGGTATGTGTAATGGCTGGATCCAGCAACAGCCCCAGACAGCACGGTAGAGTCAAGCCCAGGACTACCTATAGTAAGTGTCCAAGGTCCATCCAGGAGGCAGGACTGAAGGTAGGGCCGCCTGCAGCATAGGTTCACAGGCTGTGCAGGAAGACCAACCTGTATGTCAGGACAGCAGGAAAGAGGACTGGACGTGCACACCTACAGCACAGGTCATGTCTGGAGGTCCAGGCCTAAGTCTACATGGAGCCCATGGGTTCGTGGCCAGAGGGTGTGTAGGTAGAGCCCACAGCTGAGGCTGGATGGGGTAATTATAAGGCTACCAGTACACTCAGGACCCTGACAGCAGCTTCTTCTGCCATCAAGGTGTTTCCTCTCATCTTGCACAGACCTGGCTTCAGAAGCGTACTCCTTGTGAAATGCTCTTGTTGCTACTTGCTGTTGTGGTCCCAGGCCAGAGAAGAGTCATCTCAGGGTTACTTCAGGGTGATGCAGAGCCAGGGCAAGGACATGTCACGAGCTGGGATGAAAATATGGACCTAAGACAGACACAGAGGGCCATGACAAGGTCACAAAGCCAAGGCAGGGACAAAGCATGAGCAAGCTGGAGCTAGCCCATGGCACAGAACCAGGGCCGTTATAGAGCCAGCACAGAGATGTGACACATCCCAATTAAGTCCAAGGTCCATCCAGGAAAAACGGCTACCTATGTGAGTCTGAGGTCCACCCAAGAGACAGAGCCAGAAACAAGACTGGAGATGAGATTACTGACAAATCAGGTCCAGGGTTCATCCAGGAAGACTAGCCAGTAAGTCAGGACAGAAAGAAGCAGGCAATTCCAGCTCTGAAGGTGCTCAGTTCCCTAGCTCTAACACTAACTCTGGCCCTAACACACAGGAGAGTTTGGGACTCCACTTTTATTTCCAAATATGCATTGAACTTAAGCTCCTTCCAAACAGCATCTTCCTAGCTCTCAAGCATGAGGAGAACTCCAGTAGGATTCCAGTTCTGGAGACTCTCAGTTCTGCCCTAAAGCAGGGATTTTCACTATCTTGCCCCTTTCCTGTTCAAGAATCTCCTTATCCATCATCCCGCACAGACTCCTGGTCCTCTGGTCCAGTAAAAGTAAAGGTTGTTGTTATTAAGCACAAGTTTCTTATAATAAGGGAAGCAGCTCATGAAAAATGAAGGACCAAGAGCTGAGAGATCTTGCTAAAATTAAATACAACTGGTCTCTGGTGTGGTATTTGTGTGCACAATGGTAAGAAGACTAGAGATGAATGTCTACCTTGGCCCAAGGAAGCCCTTTGGTTCCCTAGGGCAATGCCTTAACGACTAACCTGGGAGTGAACGAAAGAAGAAATACTGGTTTTCCAAAGAAACTCTGTTTTTCCTGTCAATATGGAACCACTCATTGGAACACAATATGACGTTAAGGGAGCCAAAAGGGCTACATGGTCTTATGAGAAAGGGTATCACTGAAACACACAGCATCAGGACCCAGCAATACTGCTGGCCTCTACCCAAACTCCACATTTCCTGGCTTTCAAAACAGTATATTCATTATACCATTATAGTCCTATGTGTAAAGAAAAAAACAACCTCACATCTATGCTGCTGGACCTCTGCAAGGTACTGCTGGAAGAAGGGCAACTTCCAGGCAAGTTACAGGAATTCCGATGCGCAACACTACCAGTGTCACCACACAGCACCTTTCATGCCTTACCGCTCCACTGCAGCAAGCAGGCCAGAAAATAAATGAGACTGAAAATGCGCCTGTTTCGTTTAAAACTAAAGGCATATCTAATTATTTTTTCCCCTTCCTCCCTCCCTCCCTCCAGCTTTCCCCCTGACATCTAAATCCCATCCTCACCTACATTTTGTAGGAAAGCGGTGGAGCACCTAGCAAAAAACCGCCTGCGACGTGCCAGCCCCTCAGGCTACGGGCTGCGGGGGGAAGCCCGGCCCGAACCCCTCCACCTGCCAGAAGCCCCGGGGTCGGACCCGCAAGATGGCGGCCGCGCCGGCGCCCAGCGCGCAGGCGCAGGGACAGCGATCCCTGTGAGGGACGGTTCGCCGCGGACGGGCGGCCGCCATGGGCAAGCGGGTGGCCCTCGTTCTCGCCGGCTGCGGCGTCTTCGACGGCAGCGAGATTCACGAAGCCTCGGCGGCGCTGGTGCACCTCAGCCGCGGGGGCGCGGAGGTAGGAGGGTGGCGGGGCCCCGCTCGGTGGATGTGGAGCCGCCTGTAAGCGGCTCCGGGCGGGTGGAGGTGGGTGGGTGGGGGTGTGTCTGTGTGTGTGTGTGTCCGCCGTCTCTTCGCGCCCCTCGGGCCCCCCGCCCTGTGCCTCCCGCTGTTTTGGGGATCGGAGCCCCTCCTGCTGCCCTTCTTTTCCCCGCTGCTGCACGCTGCAAAGCCTGTTCAGCCATAACCTTTCTCCTTACGCCGTCCCTTCCCTTCTCTTTATTCACCCCCCCTCCCCAGAGACGTGAGTGTCCCCTGACAGGAGCAGCGGTCGCATGCGGGTGGCCGAACCCGGCAGCAGGAGCCGAAGATGGAGCTCGGTTAAAATTCTTCATCTGCTTCCGGGACGCGTTTTGCAGAAGTCAGGCACTCGCCCCCTCTCGGCTTCCCCTGCTTGTTTTCAGCCAGCTGTTTCTGGGTATTTTCAGTAACTGGGAGTCGTGGGAGAAGCCGGGACTGGGATGTGAGGTTGGGCCTTGGTCCTGTGTGTGGCTTCAGATGGCAGAAGCTCCACTCGGGTGTGTGATGGTAACAACACAACCCCCTTACTTAGCATTGCCCTCTCTCAAATTAAGCAACAAGCTCTGAGAAGTTTGCAAAGCAAGCATCAAACAAGATATGTGAAAACAGCCCCTGCGATACACCTTTCATTATTTTATAATTTTTGAGGCAGCTTTCCCTTTCGTGCTTAACCACAAGATGGTCTTCTACATTTTGTTTTTCCTTCCTGCTACCAGTCTTTTAAGAAACTGAGTGATGTCTGGACTGGAAATGCTTATAAGGTTTGCATCTTTATCTTTCAAACTTTTTTGTAAAACTCTTTTAGCACTCTGATCCTGTAACAGTTAAGAGCAGCCTTTCTGCAGACTCCAGTGTGTGTCCAGTAAGGCTGCTGGTATAAATTGCGGTGCTCTGTTTGTCCTTGGGGTTATCTGCAGAGGGAAGGCAGGCCATGGCAAAATCAGTAAGCTTAATGTTGGCCTAAGAATGCACTCCTGTCAAAAAGCTGCAGGAATAGGGTGGGGCGGATGGCCAGGTTTGCCCGTCCTAATATATCGCTTGTTGCTTTAGGTAATTAATGCGATAAATCCATCCTGTGGGATCCACTTCTCTTGAATAAGAAGCTTCAGGAACAAAACCTGTTTTCATTACGTGATATTTATTGTGACCGATATGTATGAGTTCTGTTTACATTTGCAAAATTACTTCATCTCTGTATTGCAGGTGAAGATATTTGCCCCCAATATTGAGCAAAGGGATGTAGTCAATCACCTAAAAGGAAGTCCAACAGAAGAGAAGAGAAATGTGTTAGTTGAAAGTGCCAGATTGGCAAGAGGAAACATTCAGGATTTGTCCGAACTGAAAGCTAGTGAATTCGATGCGGTCATTTTCCCTGGTAGGTGCTTTTAAAAGAAAATGATTTGTGGTTTTTCAGTTGCAAATAACTGCTTTGCCTCCTCTACTTTTTTTTTTATTTTTAAATATATTTAGAGAATAAACTACATTCTTGAATTTGAGAGGTATGTGGGTTTTTCTTTCTTTTTATTTATTTTCTTTAGAAAATGGGAAAATGTTTTGGCAAGCTCTCCTGGGCTGATAAGTCATCTCAGTTTATTTGTTAATTTATAGTTCATTAATTTAAAATGCCAGAGTGTTCTTTTAGTGTTGAGTTATACATCACACCATTCCTTCTTTCTAAAGATTCTTCAGTACCTACTTGTGGACAAGAGTACTGACCAGAGTACAAAAGCAGGGCCAGAACTTGCCATTATATGGCAGTGCCTTAATTTTAGGGACTCTGAAATTGCTGGCAGAATCGCAGGTTGACAAATAGATTATATTCTCTGTCAGATGTGAGCACATTTTGTTTTCGTTATGTATCTGCATCTGCTGATCAAATTATATTAAACATCATTATGGATTTTTTTTATTTATAGACCACAAAATTGCCTTTCAGTTGGAGATATTTGTAATCGCTTTGGACATGGAGAAACCAAAGCATCACAAGGAAATTATGAATTGCTGAAGATCACTTTCCAGAGTAGTCACAGCACTGTTATACCTTTATGATTGTGCTTAAGTGTTAATTTTGAAGTTGCTACACTGTTTTTTGTTGTAAGGCCAGCAGAGGGAGTGTGTGTATAACGCAGAGAAGCATATGTCCAGCGTTAAAATGAGTGGGTGACATCAGGGCTGATCAGGGAGTAGAGGCTAGCAAGTATTTTTGATGTTAATTTCATGTTGTTACAACCCAGACTCAGGGGAGTTGCTGTAGTAACCGTTAGAGGGAAATAAACCCTATTAAGTTTGAAAATTAAAATCTTACTGCAGACAATCCAGATAACACTAGAAAGTGATCAAAGAGTGAAAGGAAAAATATTAAAAATGTAAAGCTTCTTGATGTTGTCCGTTGAAATACTTGTGGAAATTTCTGTTTGTTTATTGTAGAAGAGTTGATGATGTGCACATTCCATAAGGAATCAGATAAAATGGATGGTTACACTTACTAATAGCCTTCTTACTTTGATTAATCTGATGGTTATAAATCCAGCAAACAAAGGTGCTGTAAAATATAATCTGCTTGTACAATTAAATGAAGATTAAATGCAAGTAAAGGATCATTCTAACTAATTTATAGAAAGACAAATGCACCATTATTTTATTTTTAATAGGAAATGCTGTTATCATTCACAATTGATATGTCTCAGAATATCATATAATTTCTTTTTTATGTAATCTTCATTTTGTATTTATTGTGTTAACCTTTTTTTTTTTTTTAATTCCTAAGTCTGACAGTAATTCTAGGGGAGGAAAAAAGCTCTCTTATTATTGCTTAATATTGGACTAAAACTTGAGAGTGAATTACTGTAGAGGGTCAAATCACTGTTTGCATTACTCTTATGAATGACACTATTCTACTTTTAACTACCATTGGTCTTCCTTCTGATCCCTCTCTTGCTTGTTGAAGGGCACACATCAGATGGTGCAGCTTTTCCAGTGACTAACGAACTCATATGAGGTTTCCTATTTGTCTATTTGTCGGTCATTGAAGCAAGATTAAGCTTTCTGGCCTGTGTAACATACATGTTATAAGAAATGTGCAGTTAAACTTCTAATACTGTAAACCCATTGTCTTTCATGTGCTGAAAGTTTTCAGTATAGTAACTTAGCATTCTGACATATGCCAAGACCGTTGTAAAAAAAGGAGAACTTCTCTCTGGTATTGAATTTAATGCTTTTATCAGTGTCCTACATTTGAGCACTTTGGGTTTGGTTTTTTTTTTTTTTGTTTTTTTAGGTGGTTTTGGTGTAGCAAAGAACCTGTGTTCCTGGGCTGTAGATGGCAAGAACTGCACTGTCCATGAGCATGTGAACTCCACACTGCAAGCCTTCCACAGCGCTAAAAAGCCCATTGGTTTGTGCTGTATATCGCCAGTCCTGGCAGCTAAAGTCTTTCCTGGTTGTGAGGTCACGGTTGGCCAAGATAAAAACATAGATGGAAGGTAAGAAGGAAATGGATGGAGATAATTTACATGGGAATTAGGATTAAGAAATGGCCAGTCTTCTGTGCAAAAGTCTGAGGTCTCTGGTGCTAGAAATCCTTGGGTACCTTATTAGTGGCATTTTTCACTTATTTCAAATTTTCACTTGCCTGATTGTAGTAAGCGCAGAACTGTCAGGGCAGACAGACTGAATCTGTGAGGTCAGGTGACTTAGGTGCTGCAACATTGAAAAAACCTATCCCTAAATACAGCAATACGTTGATCTGGGGTATGTTCTATGATGTCAACTATCATATCTGTTATATAGATATGATGTTACATAGATATGATACTTCACAATTAATACTATTACATACTGATACAGTTAATACTATGAAAACTCTAGGTAGCCTTGTCTCTGGCCTAAGCTGTTGCTCTGTGAGCCACCAATGGTAAACAGGCCCCTGCGCTGGCTTTATTTTGCATTGTGGGTACTAATGAGTCACTGCATGTAGCATCTGTCAGTCCTAAAAGTGACAGAACAAAGGGACTTTTATAGAATTGTAGCTGCGCAAGCATTCAGGTGACCAAGGATATCAAGTTATTTTTTTCACGCTACATTCATGGTAACTGAGCGATAGATTTTAGCTCCTGTTAAGTGAGATACAGCATTTGCTTACCCAATGCCTTTGAAGGCCATGATTCATATTGCAAATGTGCAAATGAAGAACAGGCATCTGGCCAGCTGCTGTTCAGAAACTCAGTACCCTGTGGTAATTTGAGTGGCTGTTTAAATTGCATCTGTGGGCTTTGCTCAAGGATTTTTAATAAAGTTTTTCTGGTGGTAGTGGTTTGGGGCCAGTTTAGGGGAGTCGAATGAAAGCAGGGCCTGGTAGAAAGAAGTCAGTGCTGCTTCAAGTTCTGTCAACTCCTGATAAAGTTTCTGAATGGAATTTCATAGCAGGAGCAGTGGTGAGGGATTGCCTCTGTTCCTCCCTTATCCTCAGGAAAAAAAAAAAATCTCTGCAGAATTCCAGTGAAAGATCTTATGTGGAGATGTTGGAAAAGGTCGAAAGTGTCTACGAGTTCAGCTGGCATCTCTGAAACTTCTGAGAATTGGTTATGGCTGCATCTTGTAAATTTACTGAAAGATTGTTAAAAACAGAACTGTACCTTCTGACACACTGTGGCTCTGCATTTCAGACCGTGTTTTTAAAGAAATCAGATCATTTGTTGTGTCTGGAGGGGATGGGAGAACCTGACAGTGGCAGTCTGTTCAACTCCCTTGCCATCATCAGCTGAAGAGGCACTTAAATATTATTGTAGTTCTCTCAATCAACTTATGTTCGCAGAACTTTATGGCTGTATCATCTCTTTATGTTAATTACAGTCTTTTTATTTACAGATTTCCTGATGCTGAAACAGCATCTGCTATAGCAGAGCTTGGGTGTAAGCACATTTGCAAAAATGTAAATGAATCCCATGTGGATAAAGCCAATAAAATAGTTACTACCTGTGCTTTTATGTGCAAGGCTCCTCTGCATGAAATCTTTGATGGAATTGGAACAATGGTACAAGAAGTCCTGAAACTTGCGTGACTGGAAGCATACAGACTTCTGCAAGGAAATCAATTTAGCTAAGCATGAGCATTTAGCTTTCTTTGATTATATTAATAAAATAATGCAACTACTAAACTTCACAGTTCTTGGTTTGTTTGTTTTGTTTCGTTGGTTTCTTTTTTAATCTGTAATACATCAAATGGTTATTGCTAAGTTTATCCTATTTACTTATCTTTTAAAATAGAAAATGTGTGTTGAAGGTGGTTGGGTGGGGGGGGTGTCCCCTTTTTTTATCTCATGAATCTGAGTATGTTCAATCTTGATAAGGTAATGTAGGAACCTTCCTTGTCCAGTGGGGTTTTATCACATCACTAATGATTATCAGTAATTCACATTTGGTGTTACCCAGCTATAATACAGATGAAATAGCTGTAAATGAGTTTGTATACCTTCAGTATAGGTGAGTAATTCAAGCCTACTTTGTAATCAGAAGGGAGTAAGAAAAGCATGTGGTTATTAGGGGTTTTTTCCTTCCCTTGCAAGTCTTCAGGTAAGTATAACCAATGGACTTCTGAAATTTTTGCAGAGCCCCCTAGGTAAACAGACTTTATAAACCAAAACTCAGAGGCTTAAATACAAATGAATACATTCTATGTGGAAAATACACAAGTTTTGCTCTAATAAATGGAATCATTCAAGGTTTAGTTAGTAAAATGAATTGGCTTTATTTTGTGATTTTTTTTTTTTTTTTTTTTGCATACGTAGTTTAGTCCCCTAAGTGAGGTACATTTTAGATGGGTTAGAACATGTGCTTTGATCTTACAAATGTGAACAAAGGTCGTCAGCCTCTCTTCGAAGCACAATCTGACAAGGCCTTATACTCCTGAAAGACTTAACAGTGTCCAGAATTCATTATCAAGGTAAGTTGAGGGTCCCTGTGGACACTTAAGTGTCTCAGCGTTAGAAGCGATCTGATGCTCGCTCATACTGTGGCCCCTGCTTTGCAGTGCCTGAAGTAATCTAAACATCTCAGCGCTAATTAGCGCTAACGGTGTCTTCTTGAGCGAGCGCCTTGTAACTGGAGCGGGAATACAGCAGGAACAGCCCCCTGCCACGGAGCGGCCAAAAGGTGGAATTGGGAAAAGATGCTTTTATGACGAGGCGTGTTGAGTTGTCCCTCTTGCTTAGCAGCTGCCGTGGTCAGGAAGGGCACGAACCTTCACCCCGTCGGTGCAAGACCAGTCGTTGCAGCACAGCCTGACACGTCGCAGAGCGTCAAGTGCTACTGCTCTGTGTGCCGTGTGTGTTTTAGCACCCACATCAAAGCCTGGGCGGAACAAGTGGCCTCTTCAGGGAGGCTTTGGAGCTAAATCTACAGAAATAAATATATAAAGGGTCTTATTCTCTGTCCTTCTCACAGTGATGCTTCTCATGGACACAGCATTTCCATACTCCTCTAGAATCTGGATTTCCTTTATGGAGTTACTTAAGAGAAGCGGAACCTACAGACATTTTCAGCAGAAGATCAGGGAATTTTTGTGTCACACGCAAGCAGTGCTCTGCCTCTAGAGGTGTAAGGATAATTGAAGGTGACTGTGCCAGCAGAGGATCCGTTCAGCCCGCCTGAGATGTGCACGTAATTGCTAAATTATTTACTTAGTCAGAAAGCACAATATTGGACTGAGTGCGGCTTTTGTGTTAGGAGAGTCCTATTTAACAGTGCTTGAGTCACTAAATAAGAGTTTGTCCTGAATTTTGTGTTTGCTTTGTGAGTAGCTGTCGGTTGGAACATTCAAAGGAACTGCACCTTCTCTGAAAGCGCTCTAGCTGATTGTCCTGATAAAAATGTACTTAACACAGAACAGTCCTCTACTTTTTCCAGACTGTACACAGTCTCTATAATGCCTTCTATGGCTTCTGCAGGCAGGACACTGGAGGTATTGAATTGAAATTTTTTCTCCAAGTCCTCCTTTTTCAGAGGTTTCCTCCAGTGTCCGTAGAACGTATTGCAGCGGTCGCTGATTGTCTTGCCGTCCCGGAGTGTGACACTCACTTCGCAGTAAAGGCTGTCAAAGCTAGGTGTGTTATCAGGAGGATGCTCCAGCTGTGTTTTGCAGAGGAGCTCCTGCAAAGCTGGCTGGTGAATATTCTCACTGGCGAAGGATTCGACCGACATGCTGCCATCCAGCAAAGCAGAGCATGCAACAAACTGGAAGGAGTGCCGAGCTTCATGCTCTGAAGAAGGGCTGGGTCTGTTCACATATTTGACTTCTGGGACTTTGAGAATGACTTTCTCAATTTTATCAAGGGGGAGCAAGCTGTTACTGCCCTCCACAAGCTTCCTCCTAACAGAAGATGCTGCATCAGCCACCCAGTGCGTTGCAAGATGAGCAGGAAAGCGTTTGATGGCCACGTCTTGCTGGTCCAACAGCCAGGGATAGGACTGCAAGGTTGGCAGAGTCTGTGGGTTGTAATCTGTATAAAAGGCGCCCATCCCTGACTCCATGTCCAAGATCTGTTTGTTTCCTTGAAGGCCCTGTGATGCTAAGCAAGCTGCTTCCAGTCCATGCTTGGCAGCATTGCCAACGTGGAGGGGCTTCGTTTGGGTTGCTGCATTAGCCAGTGGGGCACCTGCATAAGAGGCAGCAATAGCCAAGGTGTTTTTACATTTCAAGCGGTCAAGAGCTAGCAGTTTAGCACAAGCTGCTGCACTTCCCATTGTACCAACAACAGTCGGTGGGTGAAACCTGAGAAAACACAATCTCTTCATTAGTTTGTTTCAAAAAGCCACTTGAATTCAATGTATATACAAGCTCTGGTTTTCTTTCACTGCTGTGGAAGACAGATTGGACCATAGAGAAATCTACATTCAGAATTCACGTACAGTCCTAGTGGAAAAAGTTGTCACTTTTCCCCAGGAACAAGTTAAACTGCAATAGTACCACTTACAATAGGTCCTCTCCAGAAAGCAATGGAAACGTTAGAACTGCTTATAACTTTGAAGCATACTGAATGGAATAATGACAAAAGTGTCACAGTTTATAGTCATCTATAATAATTTATAGTCATCTATAAGTTATATGTATTGGGGGAGGCAAGTTTTGTTATTCTGAACCAGTTTTGCAGAATCAGTAGAAGAAATACACAGACAATATCAAGAAAATGTCTAGTCCCTCCCACGCTTCAAGGCTTTCCCCTAAGCACACCCCATTTTCTTGGGGTTGGCTCTGAGCCCAGCACTGGTGACTCCTTTCTGCTGAGAGCAAGCCTCTGTGAGTGAGGCATGATTGTACATGTTCATGAGAGCCTGAAACCTCTGCTATAAAACGTTGCCTTTTTGCTGCTGTTTTTAATTAATAGGGAGATCGTCACTTCTTGTAAACTGATCGATGCTCTCAAAAAGCAATACTTTCGCTAAGCCTCAAGGAGTCCTGCAAGTGTATTTATGCTTAAGATGAACCTTTTCTAAATTTCCAGACAACATAGAAAATACGATTAACTGTATTTTAACTGGCATTGAATTAAGTATATTAACACTGAGAGAAAAATACTTCCACTCAACTTTCTACCTGAAGCATTTCTATGTACCTTTTTGGAATATTCCTGGCTTCACTGGAGAAGCGCAGCAGCCTGCCTTGCACTTCGATTCCAACATTGAAAGCTAAGAGCAGATCGAGACCTGAGATTTTTTTCTTCTGAGGAAAGGCCTCCGAGAGTGCAATCACGGCAGGGAGCACAGCCCCGGATGGGTGTGTGGCTGGGTGCCATGTGTCATCAAAATCCATTGAGTGCACCTAATGGAAAGAGAAACCTTGACTTCTTATCAGAAATAAACTCTGGCTTAGCAAGATTAACTTAGTCAAATGAAACTACTGTAATTGGTATAAAAAAGGACTGAAGAACTAGATTTTCCTTAGAAAACAAAACTTCAAAATTGTTTTTTTTTAAACACCTTTACTCCCAACATTGCTCTGTGAGAAGTGGCATTGCAATACAAATTTTACCTCAGAGTAGTATAATTCTAATTCCGGTTGCATCCGTCTAAAACCAGTATGAAAATGATTCATCTTTCCTGCAACAGACTTTTGCTGCTTTCATTAGACTGGTATAATTAAAGCAGCAGCTCTAGGTCCACTGTGTGAGTGGTGAATTTTCACTTGCCCCAAACCCGTACATAAACATAATAAAATTCCTTCCCCACTGTTGCAACTCATGCTGCCATTAGGGCTCACACCATTAAAGCTGTAGCAGTTGAATCCACACAGCCAACTGAAAGTTGTATCAGAACAACTTCTCTGGTGCAACCATCCACAGACAACAGGCACAAGCCTGCAAATCTAGATCAGACTTCAGCCTGAATTTTCAGCCTGACAAAACAAGGCCTGTCACATGAGGAACCAGACTCCCCTGGGGTTGCTGGGAGTAGGAGAAAGCTACAGTCTTAAAGCTGGGATGAGCTGGTTAATAATACAATAATGCCTCAAAAGCTGAACTTTCACACCAATTCACCCGTGTCTTCCTTCAGAGCAAACTGGGAAGGTGGTCAAGCTCCCCAGTGCTCAGGTCTTGCCTCATAATACTGGGAATATGCACTCCTGAGAACTGAATTTCTGAACAGAAAGAAGAAAACCCAGTCCCTGCCTTGAAAAACTTTGATGCCAGCTGGGAAGATGCCCTGCGGTGCAGGATAAGGAAAGTTGTGCCCAATACCCAGTAAACTGTGTTCCTGATGTCTTCAATAAGCACTTAGAATTGACCTGTGACCAAGATATAAACTGAAATTATCACGTACACGCTAACAGCCAGATTTTAGTATCACACTGGCTGCTAGGAGCTAAGAGGTACCAGATCTCATTTCTAAGGTAATTTTCTCTACGTTGGAAATGAGGTGTCAAACTGGACCTCTGATCTTGTTGTCACACTAATTTAGATAGGCTTAATATTATCATTCCCTTGGTTGGTCACCTTCCCTAGTTTTGCATAATTGCCTAATTTGTCTACCCCACTTTTGTGCATCTTTCTATTTCAAATGGTTTCAGCCTCAATCTGAATTTAGACAAATGTCTGGGGAGTCGGTTACTGCTTTAATGACAAAGTATGTGTCCAAAATAAATACCTGGATTTTGCAAACTGCG